GTAAAAAATCAATATTAACCAGTCAGATAAGACTGTGAACAGCGTTGCTCAAGACCACAAAGTCACTACAGATAGAGAGGCAACTGCATCAAAGTCAATGCAGTACACATTTAAATTCATTTATTTGATCAGGAGTATTTTTTATAAAAAAAGAACAATACAGGTAATTGGAAAAATGCTAAATATAGGACCCAATAATCGTTCAACTCTTAAGCTCCACACTGAACGTTATCAGTAACACCTGTGCTTTTCCTGCTGTGACAAGTCAAAATGTTTGCTGTGACAAATACTGTTGGCACATATTTATCTGCTCTTTGAACTCATGACCCACTAGTTCAGAAGTGAGTAGCTGTGGGGGTTTTTCGTCCTCACTACAGTGGTCAGGGCAGCAGACAAATGGCACTGAGGATAAAAGTAATGACACAAAGGAGGACAAGTTCTGCAGGCTGCCTCAGCATTGAGTTAGAAGACTTATTTTGCAGTTGAATGACTCTTAATCAGCACCGCTTGTTTACCAGTGCTTGTGTGAAGGTGACCGCTCCTTTAGTAAGCCTGCTGTCAAAATTCCCTTTACCACTTTAAATAAATGTTGCCATCAATTTTGCTATCAGATTTAGTGCAGTCATGACACACACTTTACAGTAAAATTACTTTTGTATTTTTATTTTTTCAAACACCATGCTGACATTTAAAATTCCCAGAGCACCTTCAGCGAACAGGGTTTACAAGTTTCTGCTTCAAGCCTCTCTGCTGTGATATTTTCACTGAAGAATAAAACAAGCTTGGCTAATATCAGGGAAAAAAATCTCAATGTTGTTTATGTTTTGTAATTTTGAATAACTGATATGATGTATAATGACTGCATACCATTTGAAATTCCCATTTATACCGTAATAATGTGTTTTCTGCTGGGTCTTACAGGAAGTGCTGGTGTGGCTCACTGCCCTGCAGAAGGAGCTGGGAGGAGAAGTGTCTGATGAGAGGATGAGGGATTATATCTGGAACACACTCAAGTCTGGAAGGGTAAAGACACACACATTCCCAACAATTCTACTTATAATGGTTTCTTTATTTTATTTTTTTATTTTAAAGGGACTGTACGGCTCAAACATTAATGTCAGCAGTATATTTTGCAGACAGTACAGAATTGTAACAAAATATGAAATCATACAGAAAATAACGCACAATACAACAAGTACACACAATAGCACGTTACAAATGTGTGCCTCTCAGATAAATACAACTTATGAAGTGTGTAGATATATTAACGAAGTCAGTGAGTGCAGAGCTGAGGAGCTTTTAGGAGTTTTTATGTTGGTTTTGAAAGTGCTGATAAAACTGCAGCCTGTCACATTGTTGGCAGGCTATTCCATTGATTTGTGGCTGCACAGGAAAAGCTGATTTCCCAAATGTAGTGCGGCAAGATGGTATGGTACAGTCTCGCACAGAGGGTATCCTGGAGCATCTAACAGAAAATATAGAGCAAAAGTACTTGAAATGGCCATTTCAAATTTAAGAAACGAGGCACAAACCTGAAAATTATCTAACGTTCTCTAAACCCAGTAAATTGTATTTCTTGAGTACCCTGCTGTGATGGAGGTGAACTCATTTTGCTCTCACGTTCAGTAATTTTATAATATGGCCCTAGTTTTATTTTCGAAAAAATTACAGTTTTACACTTGACAGTATTATGCACTTGGTTTTTATCTACCTGCCATCCTCTTACTTTACTGTCTTGACTTACTGTGTAGCTCAGTGTTTTTTGCAACACTTAATAACTAACAAATTCTACCATAAACCATAAGGTACCACTATAATGGTAGTATTTTGCACAGGTTACATTTTTGTCTTTCTTTTGGCTGTAGGTGGTGCCAGGCTATGGCCATGCTGTCCTGAGGAAGACTGACCCACGTTACACTTGCCAGCGTGAGTTTGCCCTGAAACATCTGCCCAATGACCCCATGTTCAAGTTGGTCGCCCAGCTTTACAAGATTGTACCCAACGTGCTCCTGGAGCAGGGTAAGGCCAAGAACCCCTGGCCCAATGTGGACGCTCACAGCGGAGTGCTGCTGCAGGTAAGATGCACCTGGAGATTTTAATCGTACGTTTGACATATGCAGTCGTAAATGCAGTTGTTGATGTGACTGACTCTGCTCTCCTTGTGCGCGCAGTACTACGGCATGACCGAGATGAATTACTACACTGTGCTCTTCGGTGTGTCCCGTGCTCTCGGCGTGCTGGCTCAGCTTGTGTGGAGTAGAGCTCTCGGCTTCCCCTTGGAGCGCCCCAAGTCCATGAGCACAGATGGACTGATGTCTTTGGTCGGAGCCAAGTCAGGCTGAAGCACCTGAAAGGAGCTGGGGGTTAGTGTTAAGGGTGGGAGGAGGTGGAAATATCAAAAGGCAGACATAAGATGACCCCCTGTCATTTCCAACCCCAAGGATTTAGTGGGATTCAAAGAGACAGTACACTTTTAATGTCATTTCACAAAAGAAGGGCCTTTTAAATTGTCACGCCATTAGTGTTTAAGTGTGTTTAGTTAACCACTGACGTGTTTTCCCTCCATGTCTCCATGTTTGAAGCATGAGAGGTGCAAACTTCAGACACACATACTTGTAATCCAAAGTAGGCTCAAACTATGTACCATGTAATGTCTGCTAGCATCGCTAAGATTTCCTCCTGATCTGTGCCTGCGTGTTTCTCATTGGGCACCTGATCTGGACTATGAATAGGCAGTGGCATTCAAAGGGAATTGTGGGAGTGAACGACACTTCCTTTGTATTTGTCTAAAGATCTACAGTTAAAAATAACCTGACTCAACCTTTGCTGCTTTTGGCTAATGCAGTGATTTGTTTTAGTGGACATCCCCAATCAAAAGACCTTTTTTGTCAAATAAGACTTAATTTAGTTTTTCTTCTATGCAACGCTGTCATCCCACCCAGTTGATCCATGCATTTCACTCCCACTTATGAACACTCCAGTTTAGGAAAATTAAAGGTCCTTACCAGTAAAACTACTAGCAAGCTGTTCAAGAAAAATATTCAAAAAGTATGAAAATCAGTTAAAAGATACTGCCCCTTTAAATCTTTTGCCTCCCCCTTGTTCCTCAACTTGTAGGGTTTTTTTTTTCTTTTTAAAATGACCTGTATTACCTCTATGATCAAAATAACTGTCTTGTTTATATAGAAATTAGTTTCTCCTGTCTGTTTTTCCTCAGCAAGCTTTCCTATTTTGAACGGGTCTCTCTGCTCGAAGGGTCTTATGAATGGTAGAGAATCAAAAATAATGTACAGTAACAGTAATACAGATTTTAGCAAAGGGTGTTGTAATTGGCAGCCTGTAGTAAATCCTTAAGAGCAAGCTTGAATAAAAAGTGGGATAAGGGGGCTTTGTACTTGTTGAAGTCCTGTCTTATTTGAGTGTGTGTTTGTTACTTTATCCCCACAGGAGAGCGCTTTAAACATCAACTACTCCAAAATGAGCACTTGCTTGATTGGATTTCCTAATTTGTAGCAGTAGACACCCTCCCAGGCTGATTGTGACCCTTTTACTGAGGTTTTTTTGGTGTTGAATGTGTATAATCTTTGGGTTCTCATTTTGTGGTTTTATTTATACTTTGTGTACATAGGTATATATATGTATAGCTTGAATGTATGAGCTCTGTGCGATCACTTGCTTGTAATAACCACAATGAGTACCACAGTTTAACAACAGTGGAATTGTGTCCAGTGTCGCTGCAATGTTCAGTGTCGCTGGTCACTGTGAAATTATGACAACGAACAAAGAGGAAAAACTGCAGCTATCTTGTATATACACAGTTTCTTGCCTAGCTCTGTGGGCTTAGCTGGTGCTGTTTTTCAGGTGTTTCACTTGAATGTTTCAAGCTTGCTCTTAAGTTCTGGGTTCGTCAACACTCCATTTTTGTGTAGTTTAAGTTCTTGCATTTATTTTTTTTTTCTCCAAATCGATGCGCTTGCCCGTGTTAGTCAGTAGTTCACTTTCTGCTCTGCTACCATCTTCCTTCTGGCTTTATCAGGCGTGTTTTTGTGTTTTATTGTCGTGTTCTTCCATGTGGCCGGTTGTTGAACACACGTGGTTATTTTGATCGTAGAGGAGCATAAAGGTTGATAGCTGGGAGGATTCATTGCAGATGGATTAATAAGAGAAACACTTGGGGGATGGGGCTGGATGGGTCAAATGGGCAAGAAAAGCTTGAAGAGAAATTATTGGAAAACCTAACAAAAAATGAAAATAATAAAGGTTTTTATTAACACTTGTTTGGTCTCATTATATGTGTGATTCAAGGTAAGTGCTTGAAAAATAAATTTCAACAATTTCCCTGAGGTTTCCACCAAAGGGATCAATAAAGTTCTGTTCTATTCTATTCTATTCTAATAAGGGTTGTTTATTCTCCCAATAGACTGGAGATAATTGCAGTTATTTCTAAATTAAGAAATATGCTGAAGAGTGCAGTTAGTATCATGTTATCCAGCTGATTACTAATTTATACCTCTTTGGCTTTTAAGAGAATCGTTTTGCGCCAAGAAGACGACAGTACAACCAAAAATTAGTATTTGCTCAGTAAACCTAAAGTCGCTTGAATTCTGATAAGCTCTCACACAACTGCAATTATGTAATTTATGACTCCTGCTGCACTGCTTTGATTTAAATTAGTCTTTATTGAGTTCTGTATCTTTCTGATCATGAAAAGAAGATGATCCAAATACCCACCTCTGCCATGTGCTGTTTATTAATAACTGGCCCACATACCATCACCCCACTCTGGTTTCTTGTTGGTCAGCTGTGTCCTGCACTCTTGGCTTGTGTAACAAAGGCAACCAGCACTGAGGATCTCCAACTTCATGCCATGCTGTGGCACACAAACTCAATCCAACAAGATTACCAAGCTTCATTTACGTGCATTTAAAGTGCAGCTGCTGGAGGTGAATCAAAACAGTGATCAGACATGAGTGATGATTTAGTAACTGCACAGACAAAAGTATGTGACACCTCTTTTTATTTAAATAAAGCTTTATTATACACCCACAGTATTTACAAAGGTGCGATTTAGCTTGCAACATAAAGTGATTGAATTCCAAATTGTAGCAACTCAAGTCAACGATAGATCTCCGTGGAAATATACCAGGCTGCCACCGGTAGACCAATGGTCCTTGTGAAAATATACAGTGGAGGAGATGAGCTCAGGTTGTCAGATAATACTTTTAAAATATTTCTTCTATTTATAGTTTTGTATTAAAGTGTTTACAATGCGTATTGGCACCTACAATAGCAAAATCGAATTGAATCTCCGTGCAATGTACTTCAAGTAACGCATTGCTCTATAAAACAATAAAATCCAGCAGTTAGGAGGAATTCTTAAAGATGCAGCTTCACTAACAATATGAACACAAGCCCAAATAGTATAAAATAGATTTGATCTATTTTATTCCCTAAAAATGCAGTGCTTGAAAACACCATTCAGCAATCTTTTACCAACGTAGTCTGATCCTTTCTTTTTCACTTCAATTTAATATACATTCCTCATGCATCGATGGTAACTTTCTCATTTCCAAATCACCAAGAGAGAAAATAAACCACATCAGCTTAACCCAGAGTTTGGTTCTAATGAAGTTTGAAACTTAAGCATTTGGATAAAATGAACGCACGAACATGAGGATGGTCACACACTGAATGACTTCCTCCCTTGACCTTTGAAATCCTCAACTCTTGACCACCTCCAAACTATGGTAATACAATCAGTTAACTGAGTGAGCCCTTTATTGTGGAATAAAGTGATGGGCTACTTTGTTATGAAATCGAAATTTAACAAGTTCAATTCATGCCCTGACAGTGCAACACTAAAAATGTCTACATTTTTCTTTTTGTTACTTACATCCATGCATCAAAATGTATATAAACAAAGGCTAAAAGTCCACAAATAAGCATGAAACCCACAGACGATGATAAATGATTTGCAATATTTTATTCTACAGCCCACCAGTGTAATTTTTATTACGAATGTACATGACAGGAGATGATCATCCTCACCTTCAGAAGATAAATCACAGAATACTCAAAACTGAGTAGGGAAACTTCTACATTTGTTGAGAAATTATTCTCACCACAGTAGTAATCAATTAGGTTATTATGACTGTGACCTCATCTGATTCTGACATCTACCTGGCATGTCATTTTTATTTTGCCGTCTATTCAAAATATAAAGCAGCATTAAATGTGATCATACGAAATGCCATCTCTTAATTTATGAATCCGTAACATAAATCTAGAATAGACTATTTATCCAATTTAAAGTTGTCGTTACCTGACATAATCTGTGACAGTTTTGTTGTCAGCGCAGTCACAGAACCCTCCAGCTATTCTGTGGAGTCACTCAGGTGTGCTTGGTTGTGCAAAGTTTGATTGCTGGGCTGTAAAATAAGGCATTATGAAAACTGGCGGGCTAAGCTTCAATGTCCAAAAACACAATTCTCACAGCACATCAACCAGTTTAAAGCTAAACCTCCCAAACCTCAGTCACCTGAGGCAGCACTTCACTAGTGAAGAAATGACATTTTTCCTTTTACGAAATGTTGCACTTCATAACGTACAGCAGCAACGCTCTTTTAACGTTCCAAAATATGGCACCTTTAATTTGAATCCCATTAAAACTGTAACAATTTGCATAACCGCTGCTAAATAAATTAAAAAGAATGAAATGAATTTTGCAGCTATAGCACTAGTGTATGTCAAACAATATATTAAATCTTGCATTTGAAATAAAAGCAAATGGTAAAAGGCAAAGACTGTGCTTTTCTAGTCTAGTATAACCAGCTGATCCCAGTGCTGAAGTTTACAAGATAACGTGTCAGAGAGGCGAATAGAGCAGCCTCAAGTGACAGTCGGGCTCAAAGGGCCTCTGTGCCTTTAAAAAACATAAAAGGGTATTTTAAAAATAATAGTCGACTCTCTAATACTGGTAACATGGCGTTGCAATGATTTACTATTCTGTTTACATAAATACAGCTTGTAACTGTCAAGAGCAATGGCGAGTTCCTTCTGCTGAAAGAGGACACCTGAAACTGGAGGTAGACAGAAACGGAACACATAACACAAGGAGACGGGAAATAAGCAAGAACTTGTTGTGGCAGGAATTCCGACATTATGCTAACGAGAGTTAAATGTCCTACATCTTCAGTAGCCGCTATGACGTCTATGTAGCAGTGGAGACTTGATGTAGGGGCTGTCTAAGCCGCTTCATGCAGGTTTGGGTGTATAAAGGGAATAAAGGTTGGTATGGTTTAAGGCCAGATGAAGACATACAGTTGCTGAGATCACGTCTGGTGCACCTCGTGAAACATCAGCTCTCGTGGGATACGAGTCTCTGGGCCGTAAAGCTTGCTGGCTCGCCGCTCAAACGCAGCGACGTTCTGCTTTACAACTTCATCGAAGAACATGGTGGCTAACTGGGAGTGCAGCAAAGAGCGGAACTCAAAGGATATCTGTCAAAGATACAAAATGTATTATTTTTTTAGAGAGAGACAATAGGGGAGTCATGACATAACATAAGTAGAAGCAGGGCTTTTACTGGATAGAGAATTTTTGGTTTGAAAAAATATATTAACTAAGAATTGAGACATATATGTTTAACCATTTTGTTAAATTAGCATTTCAATTACTCAGGCATCATGGACATTTGTGCTTATCAAAAGGTCTGAAATAACAGGAGAATGCTTAGATTTAAGGTAAGGTCATATAAGGTAACACAGATTCATTTCTTTCACTGTGTTAAGTCACCCCCCAAATGCCCACTATGAACCAGGAAAAACCTTGAGAAGCTGGATATAATAGTTGAAACAGAAACTGTCTGAAATTTTGGAAAAATATGCTTATTTGGTCTCTTGACTGATACCGTTCTAATATCTATGCAATAACTAAGAATTTTAAGCTTAGCTTAAACCATGAAAACAGTGGGACCAAACATCATGTGTGGAACTACTATCTTGGTATCCTGTTGACAATAGTCTCAGGAAATAGTTCCACACATGAAACCACAACCTGTTGTTTTATACTTCAGCTTTTGTACAGATTAAACAAATTGAATTTTGTGAGCAATTAATACTTAGCTTTCTGGACTGAGCCAGGTGAGCTGCCTCACTGTTTTCTAATCTGAATGCTAAACGGAGTCAGCTGACTTATTTACTGTACAGGCTTGAATGGTATCAATCTTCCGAGCAAATTATAAGAAAGAGATTTTCCCGAAATATCCAGCTCTTCCTTTAATCAAGGTAATTACAAAACATGCATCAAGAGAGACAGAGGGTCTAATGACCTGTCAGCAAACCACAGCATGAAACAAGCTCCAGGCTACTTACAGAAAAGTCTACCGTGCAGGTGCGAGGGTAACCGGGAATGCCAGGACTAAAGCGCCATATCGTCTCCAGGTGATTAAACAGCTTTCCATCTGTACAGACTGCCTAAAATTTAAAGACACTCCGTGATTAGAAACCAGAATACAGAGAATTAAGTGCTCGCTGACATCAAACATTTAAACTGTTGTCATATTTTAGCAATATAAAATCCATTTCTATTCAGATATTACAAGAAATATCAGATGTACTGTCATCTACAGGACTAACAGTCACCTCGGCGACTGGTACTTACTTTGACGAGATGAGGCCTAACACTAGTGATCATAGACGTGTATCTCTCCACCACTGGAGGGAATCCCACTTCAAGCTGGGCTTTGGAGTGACCAGCTCTTTTCATGATGGTCTGGGACTTCTTACACCAAGGTACAAAATGCTTGTATTCGTCAACATTAGCCACCACATCGTACATTTCCTGCATAGAAAACCTACAATAGCAAACATTAAAAGGTTAAAGGATTATTATTTTAAAAAACAAACAAAAAAAACGTATAAAACAGAAAATGCTGCCTCACACTGGAAACTTACCCAAGTATCCTACGCTCGGAGTACTCCTTCCTTTTGTTGGTGAGGCTGATGAAGTTTCTGCTTTGAGGAACAGTTGTCATTACGTCCCAGTCTTGAAGGCAAAGCACCCTGGGAGTTCTTGTCATCAAAATGCCACATGACGACAAGTGTCTAAAAGGTAAGGGGAAACGTTCTGTCAGACACTTTCTGGAAAGAGCACAATTTGCCACAGGCGCAGTATGAAACAAAAAAAGGCCCACTACATTCCAGCTTCCAAAGTCAGTGATCACACACAGCACACTGGACCAGGAGGTTATAGAAGGTCTATGTTGTGAGTGTGCCAGTACTTTCTGAGTTAGGCCTTTTATATGACTAGCAAAACACTATGTAATGTAACTTGTGCTTCTTAAAACAGTCAGCAAAATTGTTCTAGTACATCACCCCTATAATCTGACCTAATGTATTTAGACCACTAATGCAAGTGATCAGAAAATGTCATCATTAGTTAATGGGGGCAATATTGCCTTAAAACACTTTGACAATAGGACAGAAACAATGGACTTTCATTGTCTGCCAGGGTGGAAAGCTGCTTTTAGCTCACCAAAACATGAAAACATCCAACACATGTTTCTAGTAAAGCACTCCACCCAAACAAACACAGTAATTAAAAACAGGATTAAAAACAGTGGATGTGTAGGGCTTAAACCTCATGAGTCACTTTGTAGAGTTTAGTGGTGCATATAGGAAAAAGGACTCCTTAAATCCACAAAATACATGATTTATAATGATGTGATTGAAATTCTAAAAAAAAAAAATCCTTTCTGACTCACTGTCACCATAAACAAAGTCTGCTTGTTTGGAGATCAAATAAACTGCCTCTCTGCTCTGCTAATGCCATTTCTGCTTCTTAGTAGTCAGTTGTTACTAAATACAGTAAATAATGTTCGTTGTATTTCCCCGTTTTATATCCAAACCATAACCACACTTTACAGTATACAGAATACAGTATGTTTTTTGATGCATGGTTTTATTTGGAGGTATTTATTTTCCACCTACTGGTTGTCCTCCTTTGTTGATTACAATGGGGGCACTGGAATTTCCCTGTTTAATGGATTAATGAACTGAACTTTAAATCAGAACTGAAACATTTTAGCAATGCTTTTTGCTGTTGTGTCATTAAGAATGTAATACCTCAACACATCAGATTATCATTGATATCATATTACATACTTGTTTTATTTGTACAAACATCATGAACTATATGATATCAATGTTGTGTTTTTTTATCAGCAGTAAAACACTCACAGAGCTGCAATGATAAACCGATGAGTTGTCAACAATTTTGATGATCAATTTATCAGTTTGAGTATTTTATAAGAAAAAGTTCTTGATGATAACATTTTCTGGTTTATTTATTCCTTCATGACAGTAACTAAACATCTCTGGGTTGTGGACAGATCAAAATGTAAGGACTTCATCTTTTTTACCAAACAACTAGTCAAATAATAGAGAAAATAATCAAGATTAATCAACAAGGTAAAACAAAAAAAATCGTTAATTGCACCTATATAATTTTATCCAAGAAAACAATGAAGCACTTTATAATTGTAATGCAACTGTGAGTATTTTGTCAGTATCGTGACTCCACATTATACAGCTCCTCCTCTAAGAATCGTCACACTTTCGACATAAATACATAAAAACATAAATAAAACGATCGATCCCGGTAACGTTAGCTTGTGACCTTCTCGATATAAATCATATGACTCAGTGTCGTCGGTGTCAGTGCCTGTGTACTGAGTGACCAGCTGTGTGCCACTAGCTTTAATAATAGCCTCTGCTATCTCCTTGACAGGCTCACCTGATGTTTTGTCGCAGGCATCCTTTGGGCACCGTCGTCCGACACGAGCGAGGAGAGCCCACGGTGGCGATCTGGAGAAAGTCACTGAATGTGCGCACACCCATGGGTAACCTCCGGGCACCGGCTGTGGCTGCCATCAAACCAGCCACTCGAGGAAGGGAGTTGCTGGGTTTCAGAGGCTAAGCCCGGGATCTGGTCCAAGACCGAGGGAGGCAGAGAGATTCAAGGTCCCAGTCTAAACCCCTTCTGCCTCAGCGCGGGTGTATCGATAAACACGTAGCTTTAGCTAATTGATTATCTTCACTTGGACGGCGTCTCCTGCCGCTTTCGCAGCTGCGAACGTTGCTAGTGACGGTAGTCAGCCGCTAACGTTAGCTTGGTTTCATAAGAGCCCGACCAACGGCGACGTACGGCCGCGTTCTTCTATTTTTTCAGCTCTACTCACATCACTCCGCGTCCCGAGTCTCAAACTCGCACCAAAGTTGAATTATTTCGTTAACTTTTGCCTTTGATGTTGTCAAATTCCGCCTCGCCGCGGACGACCTTCTGCTGCTAAATAAAACGCCGGTGGGACAAATTGTTCCTTTCTTCTGTGGGCCGCTCGGTTCAGCCCAACGCCTCTCACAGGAAATGCTGCCTCTCGCTGTGCTGGAGGTTAACAGCAGTTCAAAAATAGTTTTCCTTTTCGTTTCATTTTTATTTTGTTTCGACACAAAGTAACAAAACAGAAATATAATTTTATTTTCACTTAACATAATATTCGATTCAACCAGTTCCTGTACCGCTACATTAGCAAAAATGCAGTGACTACATATATGGTCAAAACTTAGATTGAAAGGGCAAATCACATAAATGCTGTGCTGTCTTTACATATGTATTTTATATGCTTATAAATTGTATGAGTATTTTTTTATTTTCAAAAACTTTAGGGTGCGTGTGTTGCCTGAAAGTTTCAACACAAATAAATTATTATTATTACTATTTTTATTATTATTATTATTAGTAGTAGTAGTAGTAGTAGTAGTAGCAGTATTACTTTTCACTGTAGCTATTTTGACACAAAATTGTAGCCAAACACAGGTGTTAATAATGACATTAATTAAGGCTCTATACCTAAATAATGTGATTATAAACACCTGTTTTTGCCTACTGTCTCATGTCAAAATGGCTGCTGTAAAAAATCTGGTTACTGCTACTCTGCTAAGGTTAACAAGTTAGACTAGCAGTATTACTTTTCTACATATTTTATTTCTAAAATAATAATAATGATAATAATTAAGCTTTAGTTGTCTTGTTAGGTGGTATAATATTTAATTTTTTAAGGGTTTTGAGTTTTTAAATTTCAGAAAACCGGAAAAATGAGCTTTACCTTAGCAAATGGCTAGTATTAGCTAGCCTGAGTGCAATATCGCCTTAGTTTGTTTAACCATGCTGTTTGTATAAATAATTTTTAAAACAAAATAAAATATGACAAATTCAGATCTTGTGGGTTTATTTAACATATTTAAACTCATATTTTAATTCAAAATGTAATATCTTAATTTAGCAAGTTAGGTCACGTGCTGCCTGCTTTAGTAATGTTTATTGCAAGATTTTTAAAAAGAGAGAGAGAGACAAATCTGATTAAAATCGTTATTTATTACTGTAATTCATTTGTTTGAACAGGCCAAAAATGGTAAAGAAATAAAAAGAAGAAGAAAATTTTGTAAATTTGTGATTTTCCCTGTGGTCATTAGATTATCCAAAGACAGTCTCAGGTATTTGGCATTGATTAATAATAAACCTACTATAACTTTCTATTGGTGTCATAGCTTTGTGTCAAAGTCAGTTTGAATAATAATAGGATATGATGAGCTTTGTTGAATACCATTACAGGGAAACATTGACTTTGCTATTTATTGCCTAGTAGTGCGCTTTCTAGTAATATGCCGTAGTTCAGTTATTCCTAAATTTAAATAATTCTGCTTCGCAACAGCTATACTTGTTAGGATGGGTCCCATTCTCAAGACCTGAGCGCTCCACTTGACCTTTTGGACAACCTTCTCCATTCATGTTTACGCCGCTGGTGTAAATGCAGACTGCTTTACCGCTTCCCGCCACACGGTGCCGCCATTTCAGCCGAGGAGGCGACCACAGACCGCCACGCCTGTAGGCGGACCAGCACAGTCGTAGCCAGTATCGTCAGACCAGACACTGGATACAGACAACAACAGTGACAGATCAAGACCGCATTTCTGTTTGCAATCAGCTATGGGTGTAGTCTGAGAAGTGGACACAGTAGCGCACCGCAATATACCTCGAAGTTTTTTCCTCATGAAGGAGCTCCGTCCTGGCTGAGTTTGGGAGATGGGAGTACTCAACATTGCAGACCAGGTACGATGAAAGAAAGCGCTCCGTGTTTGTGCTGTGGCGCAGTCTATTTGCTGGGAAAGACCTGCTCTTGTGCGCAGCATACTACGTCTACCTCACCGAACGACTTGTTTTCGTTCTTAGCTTATTGGTGGTGCATGTTTATTTAAATGAATATCTGCACGATAAAGAAAAAAATACTTTTGGTTAGCAAATGCTCGGAGTTGATAAGTTAATATGTGCGTTGTTAGCGCGGTAGTCTAGGCCCTGCGCTGGGTCGGAGCCAGCTCTGTAGCAGAATTAGCTAACAAGCCGTTTGGCTAGCTGACGTAAGTAGTGAGAAACGGGCCTGTAGGCCTCAGCCAAGGCTCTGTGTATCTACTGGAGAAAGCAAGAATCACATCCAGTTTCTTGCAGTAAATGCGTTAAATGCAACATTTAACATCATTAATCGTTTCTTTACATTTTCTGCTGGATAGTTTAGGGCTTTAATTAGGATTGGGCCTGCTCAGATAAATCACAGATGTGTGATGGTCCCATCCGAATCGTCGGTCCAGATCAACGTTAACGTAATATATGCAACGTTAACTAAACTGGTATTTTTATATTGCAGCCTCCTCTGGTCCAGGCCATCTTCAATCGTAATGCTGAAGAAGTTCAACTATTATTGCACAAAAAGGAGGATGTCAATGCACTGGTATGTTGGAAGTACAATCGGTTACAATGCAAAACGGATCCAGATCCTGAAGGACGTTAGCCTCAGATAAATATGAAAATCAAACGTCATTTTCCACTTGATTGATTGCATGTCTGTTCCGCAGGACCAAGAGCGCCGTACGCCACTTCATGCTGCTGCCTGTGTGGGTGATGTCCATGTAATGGACCTCCTCATCGAATCAGGTGCATAAGCTGCATGAATTCCTAATACCTGGTTATGTGTTAAGAATTTAGCCATCTCTATGTTAGTAAAGTTTTGTGCACACTGAGCATTTGTCACTATCTCAACAAACGTGTCCCTTATGGCCGATTCACTGTGCAGCTGCATTGCACTTCTCACTTGCAATGTCTTTGAAATCCCTTTAAAATAACTGATGTTTTTTGTCTTCCAGGTGCCAGTGTAAATGCTAAAGACCATGTATGGTTGACCCCTTTGCACAGGGCAGCTGCTTCCAGGAATGAAGTAAGCAGCAAACTCGTCTCTATCAAAGAGTCAAATTGTTTCTCAGTTAGATGACCTCATCTTCTAACTCGATTATGCATCCACACAGAGTGATTGTTGTACTCATTTAGGCTTCCTGCACCCAAATATTGCACTGATGGAAGGAAATGCAATAAGATATATGCTTTAAGCCCTGGTGATTGCTTCCTCTCCCCAGAGGGCAGTGGGTCTGCTGCTGAGGCGTGGAGCCGAGGCAAATGCACGAGACAAGTTCTGGCAGACACCACTGCATGTGGCTGCTGCCAACCGTGCCACACGCTGCGCAGAGGCCCTGTTAACCCAGCTGAGCAACCTGAACATGGCAGATCGCACTGGCCGAACTGCCCTGCACCATGCAGCTCAGAGTGGGTTCCAGGAGGTGAGACTTGAGTAGTTTTCTTCCCATTTGAAGATTTTTGACCCTGAGTGTGGCTCCTCTTCATTTAATTTTTTCACTTTCTCTTCACAGATGGTGAAGCTGCTCCTGAACAAAGGGGCCAACCTGAGTGCCATCGATAAGAAGGAGAGACAGCCTATCCATTGTGCTGCTTACTTGGGTTAGCAAATTTCACTTTCCTGCCAGTGCTGCACTGCCCAATTTTTTTACTATTAAATTGCAGTAAAAGCCACTGTCATTCACAACAGTGTTTACTTAGATGAAGAGCAATGAATTGTGCCTCATGTACTTAAATCTTTCCACCTGTGGTTGTAATTGCTTTGAATTTCTCAAAATAGGTAGAATTTTTGCTAAAGATAACACTGCAAGTCTCCCCCCCCTTTTTTTTTCTTGTTTTCTACAGGACATGTGGAGATTGTGAAGTTGCTGGTGTCCCGCAGTGCCGACAAGAGCTGCAAGGACAAGCAGGGCTACACACCTCTCCATGCTGCTGCTGCAAGTGGTCACATTGAAATTGTAAAGTACCTACTGAGGATGGGGGCAGAGGTGAGTAATTATACATTCATTTTAGACTAGCAATACAAATATACTTTATTGTCTGTTTTATTTGATGTCACAGCATTGCACCAAGAGTTGTTGGTCATGGGCATCTGAAATCTGATCTGAGGTCCTTTTATTTTAAAATTTCCTTGCTCGGTACAGTCTGATTTTGTGACATGTTTGTGTTTTACACTCAGATTGATGAGCCCAACGGCTTTGGAAACACTGCGCTCCATGTGGCTTGCTACATGGGGCAAGAGGCTGTAGCTACAGAGCTGGTGAACCATGGAGCTAATGTTAACCAGCCCAACAAGTGTGGCTACACTCCTCTGCACCTGGCTGCCGTCTCCACCAACGGTGCCCTCTGTCTGGAGTTGCTGGTCAACAATGGGGCAGATGTCAACCAGCAGGTATGATATAAATTGGTTTTGTACCTCTCACTAATGTTCTGTGATGTGGTGATTATTAAACATTTAAACAAGTGTGTGTTTATGTTGTAATTGTTCTCCAAAGTAATAAAATCCACATAGGTGGATATGGAGAAAGGATAAAGATTATACACATTCTATTCGTGCCTATAGAAACCCTTGGTTAAAATGTAAATGTGCAGGAGTGTAGAATTTATCTCACACACACATTAACTGCCAGAAATGACAATATTGTTGTGTGTGAAAAGGGAATACATGAGAGAGAAAATGGCAGAATGAATCTAAGGATTCACATGCTATTGATCATTCCTCTATTTATAGCTGATGACACCATAAAAATGATATTGTATGAAACAGAAAAAATAAAATTGGCCAGATATGAGAAGCAGTATACGCTTCCCGTTTAGTAAAACTGGAGTTAGTGCAAAGTGAAACTGTCACTTTAAATATATGTTAATTTCACTTAAGAGCCGAGAGTGAGGGCATTTGGGAGGTTAATACTTTTGATGCTGGCTAGAATCTCTTTTCGGGGGTTGCCTAAAACCTCTTTAGGGTGTGCCAAAAATTTCCACTATGCAGGAAAAGCCTTAATTGTTTCAATCAGTGACCTGGAGTTTTCTCATTATATTCCATTCAATATGACTAATATGAAATTATATGATTTTGTATTCTGTTTGTTACCTTCTGCAGAGCAAAGAAGGGAAGAGCCCCCTGCACATGGCAGCCATTCACGGACGCTTCACACGCTCTCAGATCCTCATCCAAAATGGTAACGATGACTGTGTTCTCTCACTGAGCTGCAGGAGTATGTTGGTGCAGCCTTTTCTCTATTCCTAATGGATCTTTGATTCACTCCTTCTTCCCTGCTTTCCATCAGGTGGGGAAATTGATTGTGTGGATAAGTATGGCAATACTCCTCTCCACGTTGCTGCTAAGTATGGCCATGAACTGCTGATCAGCACTCTGATGACCAACGGAGCAGACACGGCCAGGTATCAGAAAAGCTTTCAGTGGTATTTCTGATATAAAATATAATAGTGCCATGAGGTTGTAAACAAATAGAGCAAAGTGCACACTTACAGTCAGAGATGCCTTGATGTATATCCCTCATGCTGTAAAGCAGTTGGGTGTAAGTTGAGTTGCATCTTTCACATTGACGGTTTGATTGCTAACACTTTGTTTTTGTATTTTCAGACGTGGGATCCATGGAATGTTCCCCTTGCACTTAGCTGTGCTGTACGGGTTTTCAGACTGTTGTCGCAAGTTACTCTCCTCAGGTTTGTTTCATGAATATGTGCACTTTGATTTACTTAATCTTCTGTGTCAGTGTTTATGCACATTTGGACATCACTGTTACCTGCAGCTGTTTCTTCATCTCCCTACAGGTCAGCTGTATAGTATAGTTTCATCTATGAGTAAAGAGCATGTACTATCGGCTGGGTTTGACATAAACACCCCTGACAACTTTGGGAGGACCTGTCTACACGCGGCTGCCTCTGGAGGGTAAGATACGTAATCTGCTTTAACACAAGAATATTAAAATAAGCAAAATGTTGCACTATCACATGTCATCTGTTACTTCAGCCTAATTTATTCCCATGCTCATCTGGCTTTACAGAAATGTTGAATGTCTGAACTTGCTCTTAAGTAGCGGTACTGACTTGAATAAGAGGGACATTATGGGAAGGTGAGTTCCACTTCATTTTGTTTAAATCTATGATTTTCTTCTTTTTTTTTTTTTAACAGTGATTGAACGTAATCTCCTGGATTCCCAATACAAGTAAGAATTAAAAGTGACTCTTTCTCCTCTCCTTGCTTACTTTCTGTAGGACACCGTTGCACTATGCGGCTGCTAATGGGAGGTACCAGTGCACTGTGACCCTGGTGAGCGCTGGCGCTGAGGTCAACGAGCCTGACCAGACAGGCTGCACTCCCCTGCACTACTCTGCCGCCTCCCAAGCCTTCAGCAGGTTGGAGTCTTGTTTCTCTCTCCTTCTGTGTTCTCTCTGAAACAGCAGAATCAACACAAGGCACTAAATTCTGTCCAAGTTTGGCAAAAAAAAAGTCAGCTGTTGTTTCAGAACACTGATTCACTGATAGAATTTTGAAATTCATCAACAGTTGGTGAGCAAAAAAAAAAAAAAACCCAAAAAACTTTTTGACGTTATCTGTCTCTGCTTTTTGCATTTCCCATTTTCTCTCATTACTCATTTAGTTCAAACAGTTTGCATTTTGGTCTCATTGAAAATTTTGGTTGCTAGTTAGAATTGCATTCAGTTCCGGGTAGCAACTGACTTTCTTGGATAGCAGCACAACTAAACAGCATAACCAAGAATGGGCAGTATTGCAGTAATGTGCAGTGTATGTAACTCTAAACTCAGGAAGGTTTATTGAATTAGAGCATTTTTTGTTCTTTTCAGAGTCGATCGTCATTTTTCTGGGAACCATCAGAATGATGAGGATGAAGCGAAGGAGTCGTACTTGTGAGTTCCCTTTCTCTTGTTTTCTCGCTTTTATCTGTGACCATATTGAGTAAAGCTTGATTTATGCTCCTGTGATGAATTGACACAAAGCCTGTGCTGTTGCCTGCAAACAGGGCTCCAGACTGCCACCAAAATGGTTGCATTTTCGACCTTAATTTTGTGTGTGAGTCAAAACTTGAAGTGGTCAAATTCCTGCAAGTGAATGATTAATTTTAGGCTGTATTGATGTCGCTCTAACCAGCACATGCAGCCACTGTGTTGACCACAGTGGTAGAAAGTAGTACTTTAATAACTTCTGAGGACTTGTCAGTGGATCCCTGCCAACAAGCTGTTTGGCAGCTGTGTGTTAAAAAAAAGAGAGGTATATAGCTGATCATTTAAAAAAATAAAATAAATAAAAAATTAGGAAAGAGGAGGCAGAGAGGGAAATGTCCAACTCAGACACACCTGATGGTCAGAGTGCAGGTGCAGGCGGGACTGACTGAGGTGGTGAAGGAAACAAAGCAGGGCATTTAATTACAATGGCAAACGCAGTAGTAGGGCTACAAAATTAAATGAACATTATTCACAATAATGATTTTAGCTTCCCACCATTATATGAACACAATTGACTTCGGTAGTTACACTTCACGTTACAAATCATGCGATTTCATCTTGGACAAGTCTGGCTTTATAACGCCCTATTTTAGTCTTTTCAAAGTAATGTTTGGTCACACAGCTGTCTGAGCAAACTGCAGCCACCTAGCAGCATCTACCTCAGCCTGTACCGTGAGATATTTAGGAAACACTGGTAAATGTAGTAGCCTTTGATAAGCAGGTGTTCAGCAGGTGATGTGTTTCGCCTGTGACAAGGTGGGAGGTGCGACCAAATAAGAAAATTGGTCATAAAAGTTAGTCTGGAGCCCTGTACAAAGGTGGTCTACGCCGTTGTGAGCATTTCTACTTATGTAATGGCATATCTGCATTTCTCTGCAATTGCACTGCCAAGCTACTAGTTAATGGTGGACTTTCTGTGCCACTGTGTTAATCTTCTTGTACTCTGAAGAATGATGACCGAAGCGGAGCAGATTATGCTGAAGCTGAACCTAATGAATGTTGAACAACAGTTGCTTTTACTGAAATTACTGCAACGCAGCAAAGAGATGCTGTTGGAACAGATTGAGTCCATATAGATTGGTAGAGCTATGAAAACAAAAAACAGCGTAGTGCTACGTTGACAGAATGCTGGCTCTAGCATTTGCATTATGCCAAGCCAAATACAATTACAGCCTATTAAATTTAGTTTCACAGGAGCGTTATACATGAATCAATATACCATGTTTACACAGCATATTGATTTGTGCAAATACAGCAATATGCCATGTAAACATGGTATATTGATGCAAGTCTAAGTGCATGCGGCAGTACAGCTGCGAATGACTCCTAACATGCCAAACAGGGCATATTGTAATACAGCATATTAAGACCAAGTGGGCCTATGTTTTGTGGTTTGCATCGCCATGACATGTAGCAAAATTTTTAGGGAGGTTAACACAAAGCCACAGTGCAGATTCAACACAAATTTATAACTATAGCTTTAAAAGACCTAAAATTCAACAAAATTACAGAGTTTGATTTTGGTAAACAGCATGTGTGTGGAGGCTCTTGAATTCAACACTTTAGTTTAAATTTAAAAAAAAAAAAAAATTTTTTTTTTTATAACAGCTGCTTGGAGCATCTATTGGACAATGGTGCTGATCCGTCGATGGTCAACTCAAAGGGTTACAGTGCTGTTCACTATGCAGCTTACCATGGCAACAAACAGAACCTGGAGCTGGTGAGTTTTCTGTTTTATGTGAAATCACTCCACAATGTGACACATGCAATAGCCATTCATATCATATGCCACAAATATTACAGCTTACACTTCAAGTAAAGAAATAATTAGTGGGATTGTTTTACAGGTTTTGATATTTGTGCAACATGTTTTAGCTCTTTTGATTCTAAATTAAACTAAATCCACTGCTGTGCTTTACTTTTAGCTCCTGGAGATGTCTTTTAATGCACTAGGAGACATAGAGAGCAGTATTCCAGTCAGTCCACTACATCTTGCTGTAAGTGTTACACACAGGTTTTCCCTTAGGTTGGAGTCAGCCTCTCAATCTTGACTATATGCAAATTTGTGACTGCCTTCCTCCTCTCCTTCAGGCTGATAAAGGCCACTGGCAAGCACTGCGTGTGCTCACAGAAACTGCAGCCTATGTGGACATGCAGGATGCTGCAGGCCGTTCTGTACTCTACCTGGCTGCCCAGAAAGGCTACGCACGCTGTGTGGAGGTGCTTTTGGCTCAGGGGGCTTCCTGTCTCCTCAATGACAACCGTCTCATGTGGACTCCAATTCATGTTGCAGGTATATTGCTCTTGGCTGGAAGATTTAATGGCAGCATTGCAGATTTCCTCCCATTGGAAATTTTATGTAATAGAGTAAACGTTGTTTTTGTAATTGTCTTTTTTTTGTACCGTTTCATACCAGCTACCAATGGTCACTCGGACTGCCTGCGCATGATGATTGATTATGGGGAGGAAGGTGATCTCACCAATGTGGCAGACAAATTTGGCCAGTAAGTTGTTATCTTTTAAAAGAGCAGCTTCAATTTGTTCATTAAGCTTTGAAAATACTTTCAGTGCCTAAGGTAGTTTAAACAATGAGCATACAGTGAAAAATACATCCTTATTTTTACTTTTGCTTCCTCAGGACCCCTCTCATGCTAGCAGTTCTGGGAGGTCACACTGACTGTGTCCACTTCTTGCTGGAGAAGGGTGCCTTGCCAGATGCCAAGGACAAGAGGGGCAGCACAGCTTTGCACAGAGGGGTAGGTCAGAACACTGCATGTGGCTATCTTGTGTAGCAGAGCATCATCTGTGCTTCGAAGACTCTAGACAGTTGGTTGGCAAGGTTTCACAGCAGAATTTAAAATTTACAACAGACAACAGCCTAAATGTTTCATTTTTATGCTCACTTCCAAAATTTATATTCGTTATTTAGTTACTGGGAAATGGTGAATTTGTAAGAAAACCCTACCTGCTATATGCTGACTTGAACAGTGTTGCCATGTCTGCATGTCAGAAAAAGAATAAAATATTAAGGTTAAAAAAAAATGACAGTGAAAGGTGTAAAAGTGACCTGAGGATCAGAGCAACAGTTGCTAAAGCATGTTAGGTAGCCTGTTTTCTGGATTGACTCAAAGCTTAGTCATAGACTTCAATAAATTTTGATCAAAGAGTCCATATAATGTTTTTTGGCTTTTTCCTTTCTTTCAGTATGTCATAGATTTTTTTTCTGCTCCTTTCCTGCCTGACATGCTGTGTTTCAAGTCGTTTGCTGTGCTCTTCTCACAGAGCTCAATTATGTCACCATGTAACACATTTGCATAACATCTGCCTAGTGGCTAGTTTGGTACACCTTCAAATAAGAATGAACAGCTTCTTCACAATCCCAGATTATTTTCTCACTAGAGCGACTTCTATGGCAATGTACAGTATAAGAAAAATAATGTGATTTAAATAATAAAGCATGTAAACTAGGAGACTCCCAAGAATACAGTTAGAAGCTTGTGAATGTTCATATTATGTGCTCTTTAACATGTTCATTGAAAGAAAGTCTTGATTTCTCAGTAGACATGACAACTCACCAGGAAACATGCCCAGATCTATTTTTAATACTGGAGTAGAACACATAAGAGACAAATGTGAATGAAAATGATTTCTTTCCAGAAAATATCAGTGGAGTTAATCTAATTACCCCTTGCTGGTCTGTGCTCAGGCGGTGTTGGGCCATGATGACTGTGTGACAGCCCTCCTGGAGCACAAAGCTTCTGCATTATGTCGGGACATCCAGGGTAGGACACCGCTGCACTACGCTGCATCCAGAGGCCACACAGAGATCCTGGCTAGTCTGGTGCAGGCCGCCATGGCAACAGACCCACAAGATAAATTGCTGGACAACAAACAATACACCCCATTACACTGGGCTGCTTACAAAGGTTTGCTCAGTTTGATCGACTGGAAGTGGCTAATCCCCAAACCTTAATGTTGCAATTCATCACTTTAACATCTGTTGTCTATAATGCTGAGTGTGTTTGTTCTCAGGGCATGAAGACTGTTTGGAGGTTTTACTTGAATTTAAAACATTTATCCATGAAGAGGGAAACCCTTTCACCCCCCTGCACTGTGCTCTGTGAGTATTAACTTGGCATGTCCTCTTGTCTTGTGTCTCAGTGTGACAAAATGAATTACTTGTGTCAAAAAAAACCTACTCATTAGGTTTAGATGAAATCATTTCATTAACTCAGTCATCTGGTTTGTAGGATGAATGGCCACAGCGGTGCTGCAGAGAGACTGCTGGAGTCTGCTGGGGTCCAGATGATTAACACCAGAGATGCCAAAGGAAGGTGAGGCTGCAGAACAAAAGACTTGAGTAGATTATGTGGGAACAGAGAGAAGGCATGTGACCAAAAGATGGTGAAGTTTATTTCAGAAAATCAAGTTAAGAAATAGGATATAGTTTAGTAACTGGGATAATGGCAGACATTTTCAGAAACTCCCTCCAGGGACACGTTGATAGTATGGCGCTGGGACACATAAAAAGTCCCACAAATAGTTCAGAGCCACTTTTTTTTAAATAAAAGGCAGCTATAAATAGGAGGACACTAGCTGACTTCGCTCACCTTCCAAAACTGGACGCTCACAGTCTGAAGTGGATGCAAATTTCAGATTGTTCATTTCAGAAAAATACCAAAAATCTGTGACACAAAAACTCCCTATTGAATATCAGAAAGGAGCTGAAAGGTGTTTCCTGCTTATCCAACATGCAGTTCAGACAGATCAAAAACACTCGTCATGCAGTAATTAGTTGGACTGTCTCTGTCTTTTCCTGTAGAACTCCACTGCATGCTGCTGCATTTGCTGAGGATGTCGCGGGACTTCAGCTGGTGCTTCGCCACGGGGCAGAGATCAATGCAGTGGACAACAGTGGATGCTCTGCTCTGATGGTAGCTGCTGACAAGGGACACAGTGGCACTGTGGGTAAGTGTTACACCTGGTGTTCTGGTGGGATTCTTCAGAGCTAGCACTTTCTTCAGGACACAGCTTTATTTTACAGCACTTTGCAAGACAAATGCCAAAGTGCTTTACAAAGCACTCTCTATAGTTGTAGTGCATCTCTCCTGATATAATTATCAGATCAGGACATGTGTAGTCACATATAATACATGTGTTTCTGTCTTGGTGTTGTCCAGCCATCCTCCTTCACCGGGCCAAGGCCGACTTGACACTGCTGGATGAAAACAGGAACACTGCCCTGCACTTGGCCTGCAGCAAGGTACGTATCAGTTATTAAACAGATCCTAAAGTCAAAGTTTAACTGTTATGTGCTGAGTGCCAGCACAACGGCAGTTAGAAAGAATCTTAAGCAAGTACAGTTTCTGTAAGAAGTGTTTTTTATGTTAAACGATATAACATCAGTGTATAATGAGATTAAAAAAAAAAAAAAAAAGAAACACTTTCTTCAAATGCTAAAGAACTGACTGTCACAGAAGACTTTGCATTTTTAACTGTCTGTTTATTTGGTCTTCAGGCCCATGAGATGTGCGCCCTGCTGATTCTCGGCGAGATCCACAGTCCCACTCTCATAAATGCCACCAACAGTGCTCTGCAAATGTGAGAAAATAATAACATTTGGCAATAGACTGGAAACACTGCATTGGCCATGTTTGTCCCAGTGTCAGTTATCCCACTGATTTTAACAAAGTGTGAATGTTTTAAATCATCTCTGGTAATTTTCCAGTCTTTCACCTAATTTTGGACAAAATCAAGCATTTTTTCCAACTGTTGGCTTTGTTCACAGCAGACAATGTCACAGTAGGTAAAACACAAGTGAAAATAATCACATGAATAAAGGAAGAGCAAAGACACACTGTTGTGCTGTCATTCATTTTATTAGTATTCTCTGTGCTAGAAATGTGTGCTGGGAAAAAGTCTACTACACTACTTGTAGATTGATTTTGTTTTTAAAGGAAAAGTTAGGGTTTAATAACTATATAATATAGTCTAAGCTGAGAATTGCACATCAGTTAATTGTCTGCTAGCTGTCTTTCAGACTCTGCTTTGCTCTCCCCCAGGCCCCTCCATCTTGCAGCACGTAATGGACTGGCTACGGTGGTGCAGGCACTGCTGAGTAGAGGAGCCACAGTGCTGGCTGTGGATGAGGAAGGTGAGGCACTCTTAAATTCAGCACATTCTGTTAATCCAATCTGCTTACAGATAAGGTGTGAAATTGCAGTGACAGAATGTATAGAATTTTTAACTCCTTTCACTTTTCACTGTAACAACTAATCTATACTTACCTACTTATGTATTTTCTGAGCACACCACATTTTCAGTATAAGTTGAAAATGAACTTGTGCAGTAAAGTTAAAAACACATATTTCAAGAAGTCATGTGATTGTAGACTTTGAGGAATTGGCTTCCAAATGATGCCATGTCACAAAATATCCCAATTCTATTGTTGTTTGTGAGTTACATTTTCTGCTGCAGGAGCTGTAAGTGCAGCACCTCTTGACTCAGTATCTGAATGCTTTATACATGTCAAAATCCTAGTATGATTAATGAAACCCATGATAGTTTTTTGCCCACTTAGGTACAGATAACAAGCTGCAAATGCAATTGACTTTTTGCCTTTAAGAGCTGATGTGGTACACATTCAGCCCAACAGTGGCTTATTTCATTAAGCAGATAGGGAACATTATCACTCAAATAGAGTCACGTTTGTCACAATCTAAGTTCTCTCCTTGTAGCTGGTTTTTAGTGTCACGCTATGTCCACACTGATCTGCTTTCATTTTAAAATGCGAAACCTCTGCTACATTTATGAAAGTGTCCACGCTACTCCAGCATTTAAACACCCCTATAAGGAAGAGTTTAGACAGGCCTGGACTGCTAATGGTTAATTTAACATGGATAATAAATTTCAGGCATTGTTGACTTTGTTGTATAAGCTAGCATCTGTTGTGCAGTTACATTCTGCTGCTGCTGCCTACGTTTTTCTACAACAAGGCAACCAACTCTGTGCTTTCTGTTTTGTGTTTTCAGGTGTGTTAGTACACAGATTATTTCTGAAATGGCACCACAGTGCTCATATTCATTTAAAAACACCATCTTAAAAAGAAAACGTAGGGGTGTAGATGCAGCCTCAATTACCGTCTGAGAAAAATATCTAGCTCTAGCTCCAGAAAACACAAGAGTCCTTCCTAACTGTGATCTTCTAGTTTTAATTCCTCTTTATGTGAATAAAAAATGTTAGATTTCATTTTTTCATTTAGTTGTAGCTTCCACAATCTCTGCAGCTGCAATAAAAGACTTCTCAGTCAAGGATGATAAAAGTTCTTATTCTTCTTAAATGCTCCAATATTTTACTAGCTAGTCACTTTGGGAAGCTTGTTGCTTATTGGGCAGTGTACTAGGAGTTTTTAGTCATGAGTCATGCAAGCTGGGAGGGAGAACAGTGACCAAAACAACTAGAGATAGAACTCTGTAGAGTTGAGGGACACTGTGAAGTTGGGGGTTAACTTTCTGCAAGTTTGTCACTGTGAGTGATACCTTTGACATTACACACTGTTATATGATCTGTTGTTCATATCAAAACTCTTGATGAGAGCAGCTTTACAATCTAATTCTCCTGTGATGCACTAATGTGAACATGTTGATGTTGGTCAGGCCACACCCCTGCTCTGGCCTGTGCTCCCAACAAGGACGTGGCTGACTGCCTGGCTCTGATCCTCTCTACCATGAAGCCTTTCCCCCAGCGGGACCCTTCCTCCTGCTCCTGCTCCTCTCCCACAGTCTCACCCTCACCGGGTCTCAACTTGCTGAAGCACTGCGGCATCACCGCCGCCTGTGCCCCCCTGCCCAGCAACGGCCTCCACAACGGCTATGTCAAAGACCGTCACGGTGCACCGGTCGGCCTGGACGGGTGTCTGTCTGAGTGAGGTCGCGTGCCCCACGCAGTCAGCTGCTATCACCATCATCACCACCAGGGGGCGACTCCCTTTAACATGGCCCAGAGGACCAGGAGAGCACCCACCCACATGTCTGTTTCTGTGTATGTATGTGTCTGTGCGTCTGTGTGTGCGTGAGTGTTTGGTCTTCTCTTGAGGTGCAGTCAAACCTAATATGCAATTAGATCCCATTCCTCCATCTCCTAGTAGTGCTTAATACGTAGAGGCAGATTGCTCTACAAGGTCACTCCGATGAAGTGTGGCATTCAAAACAAACTCTAGCAATCTGGCCATCTCTAAATCATTTAACCCTTTAAAACCATGTCAGCATAATTATATAACCAACATCTAAGAGCATGGAAATGTCTTTATCCTCAACTGTCTTTCTCTTCATATCATTCAGTATAAAAGTCATATCATGTTTAATCATTTGCGGTGACCTTGTAGAGGAACATACAGCCTTCCCAAAAGAATGATCAAAGAGTTTCTTTGTTTGTTTTTTGATAATTTTGATCTTTTTTTTTTTCTTTTGTTTGTTTGTTTTTAATTGTCCGTTAGCTTAGAATTTTTATGAAGGAACCACACAAGGGAAAATCTAAATTTTGCTTAAGAGTGCAATGCTTGTGTACTACAGTACAATCTGAAATTTGGAAAAGGGTCACAAAGATGTTAATTCCATAGTGTACTTTAAATGTACGGCCTAGAGTTGTTTGGCATTTTAAGATAATTTGGTAATGCTGCTGAATACATTAGCATGTCTCCTTCCAAAGGAGAGCCATGTTCGGGTCAGCATCGTATCATCGATTTGTTCTTAATGCTGACTTCATTTTTTAAAGATGCTAAATAAGTGTTTGTTAAGCTAGAATGTTTCTAAGCATATAAGTTATGACCAAAGTTGATCAACACTACTATGGCTATAAATTATTTATTTGAGATGAACTGTACTGTATAGAGAAAGACAATAGATCTTGATATACCTCGTCAACTCGTTTAGCAGCTGCTTCATCTTCACCCAGGGTCCGTAGGCCTAATGTTCTCTTTTTGTAGGACTAGAGAACTACTGTAGGATAGTGACTGACTGAGGCCTTGTTTATTTCTAGATGAAGGCTTTACTAGTAATATCTGCCAACAACACCTCATCAAAGCATCATATATCTGAGCACATAAATGAACAAGCCATTTCAATTTATTTCCCATCTCTTTAACAGTGTTTTTTGGAAAAGATTTCAGAATTTGAATGGCCTGATTATCGAAAGAGAGCAATCAGTTCTGGTTTTTAAGCACTAACAATGTTTTTTGTTCTTTGTGTTTCTGAAGTTGAACCGGCCATCAGCATAGTGGTTTTAACAAGCTCTCACTAAAGGAGTATTTCATGGAGCTGGTGAACTAGTCTTAAGCCTCTAATAGCTTATATCTCAACTTCTCGGTGGTGAACTCTGATCAGTTTGAACAGATAAAGAGTATTGTCTGCTATTTTTATTGGGCAGTTTTCAAGCAATATTTTCTTTTGGCCTTTTTTTTGTTTAGCGTTATTGAATAGACAATCACTGTCACAAGGGCTTTTGTTTCCCTGGAATGTGTTTGAGTTTTCTTTATTTTTTCTTATTTCATGACAAATTACCTAAAGACTAAACGAATGGCTCTGTGTGTGCCGGGCATTTTACTGTCAGTGTCAACACAAATGCACTGGATTGCCTTTATGGCATCTCATGAAATGCCTTTTGACCCATGCCTTCCGTAACACATCATTTCAGTTGGATTGCTTAATGGCAGAGTATGACGAGCCCAGAGACTGATTATGTTTCCACCCATTTGATAGCAACAATATTGAACCACAGTTGCACCACAGTATCTAGTGGGGAAGAAAAAAAAAATGCCTGGCGTATCTTTATGACCTGGCATCATCAATGACCAGGGACTTGATATCCCTAATAGAATCGAATAGGGCTAAGAGGAAAAGGAGAGGGATCTTTGCTTAGGCCAATACCTATTGTTTAGATTTCAGGAATAGCAGAAATCCAAATATGTGCTTTTTGGTGTTCATTTTGTTGTCTCCTCATCCCGTTTTCTGGTACTAAGCATACTAAAGATGATTGTATCGGACCACTAGAGCTGTTTGTGACTTTTAGATGTTATATCTATGCTATTTTGTTGTTTTTTTAGACCATCTGCTGGTGGTTAAAATTACACTGAGTCAGATTGTTTTCATTGGCGCGATAACTTCATATCCACTGGTAATGAAGTGGCACAATTGCACACATTAGTTGACTGGATGAGAGATGAGGACCTAGACTAGGCTGTGTCGTTAAATACCCCTGACAGAAAGGCTTTTGCATTATTGTATTTAACTTGAAATTTCTGAAATTTAAGAAAATCCATTTCAGAGCAGTGACTTCTATGAGTTAGCGGTGTGGATTCGTAGTCGACATTTCATTTGACCTCCATAACTGACTGAAATGGAACTAATTAGTGAACCCCAGCCTTTGTTCTCTTGATCATTTTATAATTTTCATGGGAACTGATATATTATTAATACTGGGGATAGGTACATACTTTTTTTTTGTATTCTCAGGATCTGTGCTGAAGCAGCAGGCAGAATTTATTAATCCAATCAGATCTCCACAGAATGATTATGTCTACAGTTTTTGATGGGATGTTCCATAATTTAATTCCTTTTTAACCCTAATCCCACAGCACTTAATTAGATAGTCAAGCACGCACTTTAGTACATTCAGGTTCTAAGTGTGCAAAATAGAGCAGATGTAATGTATGTACTTATGTTTACATGCATGTGTGTTGCTGCTGAATACAGGAAGGTAGGGTTGCAAAGACAAGCAAAGGCTGCAACAAAATTGTACTCTAACAATGCATTATTTAAGAAAAAAAAAAAAAAAAAGGAAAAAAAAGTGTCTCTAAGCACTTCGGGACAGTGTCCACTGCCCACTGACTTGTTTGTGTTATCTATTCTGGGCAGGCGGCCCGGCAAAGTGACAAGGTTACATTACCCAGCCTACTGTTAACAATACAGACTGTGGCCTAAGTCACTAAAAGTCAGTCCAGTGATTCAACAGACACCTCAGGCAGGCTCCTCATAATACTCTACATACTCTTTCTGCCATCTGTAGGTGCTGTCAGGCCAGCCTGTTCAGGCAGGGATTTTTTTCTCTCGTGATGTCCTTATCTGACCAGTAAACGGAGCCATTGCCCCTTGCAACTATACAAGTTGCAACTGAATCCTTTTGTTGTATCACAGTATTCTTATACATGCTTTTTTATTTGTGTGTACCAGTGATAAGTGAGTGATTGTGCATGGAGCAAGATCACAATTTTGATATAGCAACGATTAAACAAATGGAGCATATACAATATATCTGGAGTCAGAAACGGAAAGCAATGAAAGGTCCAATTGTAGCAATAGCGCGTGTGTGTAATAGTGTGCAGCACAAATATTGCACTGCCATCCATTTAGGCCAATTCAGTAAATCATAGCATAAATGCCAATGGAAGATTTAAAAGCGGGTTAGATGTCATAATCTTTGGTCACAATTGAGGCCTGTTTGCCAAAATGTGTTGAGAGGGGAAACCCTCTTAGTAAAGCAGCAATGGATTTATGCATATGTTCAAGCAGTTTACAGTCTGACCATCAAATCTGAGCCATGAATTTTCTGACTGAAATGAATGTAGGGTCAGTTTAGAGCAGGACAATTTGCTTTCTCCCGACTTTAAACTGTTGCTCTTCATTTGTCTTGCATAGATATGATTATACAGGTAGCATGTAGTTAAATGATTCTCTACATATTATACAGTACGCGTAGTAGTCTTCCTGCATCGAAGGTCTGGATATGTTTTCTTCTCTCTTTTTTTTTTGGCATTATCGTTGGCGTATAGGCCTGCTGTTGCGAAATATCACTTTTCTTTCTCTATACATATATATTTGTGTGGAGTGTAGCCTACAAGGTAAACAGAGGACAAGAGTTCAGATGAATTTAACATTCATGTTCATCCATTCCATTGAGATTGCCTTACAGTACAGTAAAACAAGAGGGACAAAAAGGTCTACAGTAGATATGATCACACATACTCGTAAATAGCCTATATTTGACAAAAATGCACCTAAGCTACACCCATTTAGTGCCATAGAAACCTTGATTTGCCTTTAGACATGAATCATATTTACTTGGTCAGTAACATATTCAGACGTAGGCAGGATTATTACAGTTTTGTGTTTGGAGCTGCATGTCTTTTCGCCAATTATATTAGTCAAAGAAAAGCTATATACATATTTGCATGGGATATTAGTACTTAAATGCAAGTATTCTGTTAAAATTTGGTGTTGGTAGAAGTCTATTTTATAATTGGACATTTTTAAAGAGTATAGTTAGTCCCTTTGGTATTGGCAAAGCAATCCCTAGGTTGTGTGTGTAACGAGATGGTTTATAATGTGTGTTACCATTTAAAAAAAACTAACAGTTTTTGATGTCCAAAAAAGCATGGTATATACAGTATAGAATTGATTTGCCTCAATGGATGTCTTGGTTCTTACTTGAAGTAAATGGCAAATTTCAATTCAACTCTCTGATCCACTGTTGAGCCTTTTGCCTTAAATGCTGAAAAAGAAAATGATACCTGGCACTACCTGATGAGTTGCATCACCCGTAGAGTTATGCTACTTGGTTGGATTGCTTACAAAAATTGGCTTATTTTGGTCTTACAGACACCTTTGGGTGTCAAGAAGCACACAAATAAATTGAGGTAGCACATCGCTCAAGGTTGCCATGGTGCAGAGATTGTTCTGAGAGGTTGGGATATCGCCATATTTTCCACTGTGAATGAATGAATTCAGAATTCACTCGTAAACAATCAACTTTGGCTTCTCTGTCATCCAGAGCCAAATGACACTGGGGATACAAGTGGTGTACCTCAAAAAAAAGAAAAACAAAAAAAAAGGATTCAGACGGAAAAGAAATTCTTATGAAAAATGCTTGTACAGCTATGCTAGCAAAGAGTTCAAATCTTGTGATCCACCTTGTTGGGGGTAGTGTAATTCTGCTTAAACCAGCCTAAATCAGATGTATCTACGCGGAAGTGTTTGATTAGTGTTGGCAGATGTCTCATGTTTCCTACCTTACGAAGGGGCAGCCAACTGCACCTTGTACTTTTTATTGGACCTGCAGTTTTACCTCATCAGTGATCTTTAGTGTGACGATGCTGACACTGATCCTCTGTGATCTCTTCTTGTGTTTCCTGATGCCAGTCGTGTAGATTTCTCTCTTGTAGTGTGTGTGAGTGACTTTTCAACATATGCATGTCAAACCTAAACATGCACAAGCCCATTTTTTTTTAGAAGAGAAAACCATAGTTATCCTGTTTGAACATGTTTCTCCTCATTACAATCAACAGACGAATCTGTTATCTGGTGCAAGTCATATGGAGTGAAGGGTACAGTCTAATTTTAAGGTGGGAAATGAAGGTAGCTAAAAACTTTACCTCTGTAAGTCAAAACAATAAATTTTACTGTATGACTAATGCTAGTTTGACCACCTTCCCTGCCTGAACACTTGGTTATTAATTTCCCCCCCACCAGTAAGACCTGTGTAATATCGAGCACAGTGGTGGCATGGTGCCTTTTATTTGTTACTACCGAAAGGTACGGTCTTCCATTTGTATTTCCCAGAAGCCTTATAATGGGAAAAAGAAATTACACAGAACATACATGACCACAGTAGATAGGCTCATGCTCCCTCTGAGCATTATTATTTCAATCCTGTGTGATCGGAGTTAAAACAAAAAAAAAAAAGAAAAAAAAGAAGCCTAAATAACTCCTCCTGTATTAGTCTGGATTGCACTATGTGTTTCCAGTGACTGAGTGCTCCCCCTGGGTGGCAGAATAAATTGCACATAACTGATGCGATTTAGGGCACATCAAACATAGAATGGATGGGGATCAATAGTATGAAAGCACAAATCCAAAGAAGGCACCTCGGGGGCTCATTTAGCTCCCCCAACAATAAGAAGCGAAGGAGCCTATAGACCAAATTTAGGCAAAGATGAGAGGAAAAACATTCAACTCCTGAGTGCAGACACCATGAAGTTTGATTGTCAGTAACACATGAACTGTAGAAAGACCATTGTCTGGAATTTCAGAGCTTCTTCTGATTGTTCTTCTCAGCTCTTGGGTATTCATCGACTATTAGTAACTTCGCAGTGCAAACCAAGTTGTGAAATGATGCGGTACCTGCATTCAACATCAAATTTAGGTAAACTGTTTGTTGTGACTGTGTTGCAAATTGATTGTGGAGATTGTTTTGTGTTATTTAGGGTAGACTGACTACAAGTAGGGTTGCAGTAGTAGCTGTGTGCAGTGTTAATAACAGTGTGATCATATTATAGAAGTGACGTAACATTTGTTGTCTTACTACGACATTAAGGCATGAATCATCTTCTCTCAAGCTGACCTCGTTTGAAATAGACAAAAGATACAAGTGCAATAACCTTTTGTTTATCATTGCTTCCTCAGTTAAAAAAAAAAAAAAAAGTTTTTATTTAATATGCCCTTTTTGTTAACACCAAAAGTCACTCATCTGTAGCAAATGAAGGATTTCAAGTGGTCCTCTTGTTTGTGTTCAGAGGTGGCGTTTGATAGTGGAGTGTGTGATATTCCATTCTTAAAACTGTGATCAATATCCAACTTTAGAAGCTGCCTGCTCAGACAAAGGACCGTGCACAAGTTGACTGATAGATTTGAGTAGGTGCTTTTTTTTTTTTTTTTTCTCTTTATCTGGATGGACTTTGATGGTATTGTAGTTTGGACTTCTGGTTTATAGCCGGTAGACATGTTCATTTGCATGTGTAGATGTGTATATGCATCCTCTCTTCCTCCTTGAATGAAATGTTTTCTCAAAAATATTTAGACCTGCTGTCAGTGATGTATGCGGATAAAAGGAAATATGAAATGCCTTATATTTGTTTTCAATGTTAAGCATTAAGGGTTCTTACGTGTCCCTCCCTTTTCAGCGTGTAGCCTAAAGCTTGTACAGTTAAGAAACTCTTGAGATTTATATCTACTGTATAGCCTATGTGTTTTCAGAATTTGTTACTTGGAGGTCCTGTGATTGTGGTTTTAGAGAAACATTCCCCTTGAAAGTGCCGTTTGTTTTCACCAGCAGAAGATGTGTCTTGGGGGGGAAATGTATTTATACGAAGGAAAACAAATGTTCGAAACACTTTCCAGTGTTTACTTTTGAACCTGTTGAGCTGAATGACACAAAGTATTTGTGCAGGTGAAATAAGGCAGCAATCTTCTGATGGAGCACCTTATAGACTTGCTCCTTCTGTGAGCCCACAATGGAAGTAGTCTCTTACCAAGCTTGATTACTCTAAAGCAGAGCCATATCAGAGAATTTGCCCATTAGGAGCCCCCTTTGAATGTGCTATTAGGAATAGCCTACTGTAGGAAAGGATGTATACTGCATGTTCTGTGACATTTTGGTAGTGGTAGTCCCTTTACATGTTTTTATTTTTTAGTCCGCTTCACTGTAGATGTTGCCACCTCATTGCAACTCACAAGCTATTAACAATCCTCTCACAACTGGACTTAAAGCAGGCATTGATCTGCTGCTAAGGCAGCCTTAATTCACTGCAAATTAAAAAAAAAACAAAAAACAAAAAAAAGAGAGAGAGATGATAGGTAATGGGTTGCCTGTTTTGTTTTTGAGTGGCTTATCTGAGGAAATACAAAGGAGCCCTTTTGAGTGGAAGGACTCTGAATCAGGGCATGTGATGAGTTACAATCAAATAGTTTCACAGTGCACCTTCACAAAAAATATAAAAAGAAAAAAAAAGAAAAAAAAAAGTTGGCTCGTCCACCCAACATTCCAAAGTTGATTTAATTTTCCACAGTCCTGTCCCTCTGATTGAGGAAATCTTTTTGCTTTGCTGGTGAATGAAGTGGGCATGTGTGTAAATGACAGGGTTCCCTATTTAGCCTAACGCTGATTACCTCATTTACAAATCTGCAAATATACTATTCTACTGTGTGTAAAGGAGTCAGTGCCATCACCAGCAGCGTGGTCTCGAGACCTGTGATGACAACAGGACCAATGAAGTTACTCTGTTGAAATTAGCCAATTTTAAAATAAGACCAGTCTGGAAATATAGGGTTAAGACACGATTTAAATTTCTTTGTAAGGCCTAACAAGCCGCCTCTAAGATTTCTTCAGTTAGTAAATCACTACAGCTGCTACCCCAGTCAGCATCAGGAGCCATCAGTAAGGCTGCAGATACAGTTTTTGGAGATTTCAAACTAATGCTCCACATCGTTTTACAAGCTAAAGGTGTAAAATCTAACACTCGTTACAAACCGCTCCTCAGACTATGACTGGAATAGCAACTGTTGTCACTAGCATGGTTCAAGAAGCCTGGTGTATCTCACGATTATTTAAGTGAACGATCATGTTAGCACCACTTGCTGTTTTTTCAGTAGCATTTCTCCTACCTCCTTGTTTTGCAGCCTTGACTATTGTTTGTCTCTCCACCTGTTCTGACTTTAAAAAAAAAAAAGGAAAAAAAAAAAGTCTATTCACAGTACGGGAATACAGATTTATCATAAGCAATGGTAGTTATACATAATGTGTGCTTGGTTGTGCTGTATGTGTATATGTCTATTTGACGTTGGAAAAAAATATTTATGAGAAGCATTTATACGACAAAATACCACTGGAATGTGAAGCCAGATAATGTTATGATGCAGATTATGATGATAGTCTATCCCCTTTAACATTCAGTGGCGAATGGTCAGAGGAATCATCTTTTAGAAAATTGAATAACCGTGCATTGGCTTTTTTTTTTTTTTTTTTTTTAAAACACCATATATTTCTTTGGTTTCCTCTTATGCATATACTTCCCTGTCTAGCCCTATAGTATACAATATTTCAACGTTTACAGCTTCAGTCTGGGTCAGCCATTGATTGCCCTGCAGTTGATATCACAGCTTGTCACATGGAGGATAGTTAGGTGGATTTGTAATTCTGTACGAGGGTGAGTTAGAGCCCCTCGAGCCGTATGCCTTTTGAATCCATCTGTCCACTCTGAACCAAATTCTGCTACATAGGCGTCTGTCTCCACACTGCCCCGACATTTTACATTCAGTTTGATTACAAGGGGTACAGGACAAGGTGAAAGGTTTGAGGTTTTCTGACCAGGGCCCCCCAAACTACCCGCCCACACCCCTCACCCACCCATGCCTACTCCTAGACAGGACCAGCCCTAGTCCCCGTCACCCACCCACTGTCTCACCTAAACCTCAAGCCATTCATTTTTCAGTTTTTTTTTTTTTCGACAATGCAATCCTGAAAGCACTTTGCCTTGTTATTCCTTTGTGTGAACATGTGAATGATAATTTGTTACAGAAATGTTAAATATGTAAAAGATCATTCACTGTTTTGGAAAAACCTGCATCTGTCTTTCTGACGTTAAAAGAAAAAAAAAAAAAAAACAATTTAGTGACATTAAACCTGAATCTATTTTATAAAATGTTTGCTGCAGCCAATTGGTCTTGTCATTCAGTATTGTGGCTTAGGGTTGTTTGTGTTCAATAAAGTGCTATTGCTAAATATTTCTAGTCTGGTGTTTATTTTTGACATTGCTGGTCTGATATGCACATGTTTATTTATCTACTGCTATGTTGAATTCACTGGAAAACCTAAATAGGTCAGAGCGAAATAAAGTTTATTACATTAGGTTTAAAAAAATGAATAGGTTTAAAGCTTCTCACTGAGTTTACATTTGAATGCAATAAAACAGGTCTTGTTTATTTGGACTGATGACTAAACTATACTTTTTAATGGATTTACAAAGTATTTTGCAGCACTATCAGCCCTCATTTGTACGACAGAGTATGTTACTTCCAACAACTCCTGTGTTTTAATTAGCAGGACCATAATTTGAGTGTTTGACCAAGAAACAAATGCACAATTCAAGTGTGCCCTTGATTCTTGGTCAAACACAAAGACAGGAATAATATACTGAACCAGCGAAGCCCAACCAGGATTCCAAAACACTAGTTGCATTACATACTGAAGCCATGAGAAAAAAAACAAAAAAAAAAAACGACAAAACAACTTAAAGATTAAAGTACTGGTTGCATTTTAACTGTGCTAACGCCACCACTCCTCAGAGCTGGATTTCACATTTTAAACAACAATGTTGGCTCAACATTGTCAATGTTTGAGCATGCAGTCACACGAGCAGTGAATGCTGACATATGTTTTCAGTGTGTTCCTCCATATGTTTAACTGACTCTACATGGAGCATTTACTGTCTGCATGCTGTTCATTTCCTTCCTGTTTACAGGCTGTCACAGAGTGTTGCAACAGTGTATGGCTTGGGAAGAGGAATTTCACACTCACGTTGAATTAATTAAATATATAGACAACAATACGAGATTTTAATAATTAGGAAATACATGCATAAATACACTGCCCTCACTGTTATTTTTATGGCATGATCACAACAAACTGATATTTGTCTAGTAGTTCAAGTCAGATTTTTTCAGAAATGTGTATCATATTCTATTTTTGCACATAGATAGATAGATAGATACATAGATAGATAGATAGATACATAGATAGATACATAGATAGATAGATAGATAGATAGATAGATAGATAGATAGATAGATAGATAGATAGATAGATAGATACATAGATAGATACATAGATAGATAGATAGATAGATAGATAGATAGATAGATAGATAGATAGATCGATTTATTTCACGGACCAATCAAAAGCTCCTGTCCTACGTCATGACGTCTCCACCCGCCTGCGTATCGACGACGCAAAAGTGTAGGATGTAGCACAGGACGTGGCTAACAAGCGGCTAGTTACAGTAGGGCGTCCGAAAATACATAAAAATCGTCATAGGGATCTGTTTTACTACATGCCCACGTAAGTATATAAGTCAGCTGTGATATTTTCTTCTCACACGAATGAGTGTAAACACGTATTTCTCGGTGTAGTTTGCCCAGACTGAGCTCTGTCTGGTTAGCTCGATAGCTAACATCCAGAGGAAACCAAAGGTACCGAAGCTGCTAACATGGCTAGCTGACTACCAGGCGTCCGCTATGTGTAATTCGTGACTAGCAAGCTATGCTGTTTTCCGAACTCACACATTGGATATTTATTTACAGTTACGTCAGTTTAGCGCATTTTAAACCCCAAAGCATTGCGAATTAGCGTATCGTTAACAGCGAAATAGGATGCACGGAGCTAACGATAGCATTGAGGCTTAGCTAGCTTGTTTGCAAGGCATGCTGAGACCGATGAGAGAGAAAGGATATGAAAATCGTAGACCGGTGTGTGCTGCTTTCACTGAAATTAGGTCAGCCACCAGTCAGCTGGGATAACACAAGATACTCTCATCAGATGTTGAAGGTGTACTAGTGCAGTTTCACATGTAGGGGATAACATTAGAAAACCACACAACTTCGGATCAAGGGCATCGCTTGTGGGAAGAGTAGAAATATGGCTAGTTGCTAAATTTCTGGAGTCATGGTACCTTTACAACTTTGAATGATTTATTAATAGGACGAGTCTTTATTAGCGATCTGTTGCCATTGGTGGGTGATTCTGGTACAGAGTATGTGATGCCGGATGATGATGACAAAACGTTAAAATCACTGAGCTCAGTGCCTGTTGAAAATGTCTCCAGATGAGCTGCATCGATGTTGTATTTATGATGTGTGATTTGAATGCATTTCATAACTGGTCGATGTAACAGTCAGCTGCGTAATTGAAAACGAAATAATCTGTGTAAATATCGTCTCATTTTTTTCTTCTTCTTTTTGCAGGGAGTGTCTGAGTCTCTTTCTACAGAGATTATATCTGCTGCCAGATGTGACGTATCAGCAATCCATCAAGAGCTGAATGGACGCATTTGAGGCCTTTTGTGAGTGAGATGGGCTTAAAATTCATATACAAATTGTGCAGAAGATTTAGGCACTAAGCGTAAGGAGTGATAATTTCCTGTTCAGTACTCAACTAAATCAAATCAATATCTTGTGCACCCGTTTTCCTTGGTATAACAGTTTTTCAGTGGATTGGCTCCTAAGTTTTTCCAAGCATGTTGGTGAACTCACCACTGTCGCTCTACACATTTGGGCTGTTTCATTGCTTCTGTCTCTTCTCATAAATCAAGAATGAACTGATGATGTTGAGATCATGGCTCTGTGGGGCCATACCATTTGTTGCAGGACTCTTTGTTCTTCTTGTCACTAAAGAGAGCTATTTTGGCAGGGACTGTATCTTTACAGCCATTGTCATACTGCAAAATTAATTCAGTCGTAATCAGATGCTTCCTTAATGCCACTGGGTGGTGAAAGAGAATCTAAATTTCTGAAGTGTCTAGAACCTTGCATAATTCTCAAATGTTTGCAGTCATGTATTTGCACAGTAAAGTTGTGGGTAAATATAATTTTCTTGGTTGTGTGTTGCTCAGGAGGTTGAGGGTAATGTACCATGGGGTACGACGTTACAAGGTTCCAAGGGGAGGTGGACGAAGACCTGCTGTGCCCAATATGTAGTGGAGTGCTAGAAGAACCAGTGCAGGCAAGTCCCTGTTCCAAAGGTCACCCACCATTAATTGTATCTGCATTTTTCAAAGTTCTTATGTGTTGGATGGTATGTTTTTGTTTTCATTTTAGGCTCCACACTGTGAACATGCCTTCTGCAATGCCTGTATAACACAGTGGTTTGCGCAGCAGCAGATTTGTCCTGTTGACCGCACAGTCGTGACACTAGCTCACCTCCGACCTGTGCCCCGCATCATGCGCAACATGCTGTCCAAACTTCAGATCAACTGTGACAATGCAAGCTTTGGCTGCACAGCCACACTGCGGTTGGACCAGCTGCAGTCACATCTCAAGGACTGTGAGCACAACCCCAAAAGGCCCGTCAACTGTGAGGAAGGATGTGGGTAAGTAGCTTCTATTTGGCTGAAAAAATGCAAAATCCCAAGTGACAAGTTCAAAAAAGTAGAACACAACTAAGTGGCACAATAATAATAGTTGCTATAAAAAAAAAACAAAAAAAACTTGTACTGTTAAACATTATAAATTACAGATCTGAAAAATGTGTGTGACCCGTTCTTTGTGTGGTACGGTATTCATCTTCTATTTTCCTCCTTGTCATTCTGTCTCGTCCACTCGTCCAGGCTCGAAATGCCCAAAGATGAGCTGCCTAACCATAACTGCATCAAACACTTGCGGAGTGTCGTCCAGCAGCAGCAGACTAAGATTTCAGAGCTGGAGAAAACTGTGGCAGAACATAAGCACCAGTTAGGAGAGCAAGTAAGACCATTTTGTTGGCTCATTAACATATTAACCACAAAATACTTTTTATATTGGTCTAGCCCTGAAAAGTGCTGTTAAACTGGTTCAGAAATTGCCAGGAGCATGTTGCTTTTTCATAACAACCACATTATTCTGCACTGTGTACTTAGTATAATCCACTTGACTTCAAATTCTAAAATGCTGTTTGGGATCCAGGTTTTTAAAGTGCTTAGCATATTTGAGTACAATTATCATTTTGTTTTGCAATGTTTGCCTCTCAGTTGAATAGTTTCAGTGTGATATGTACTTGCGGTACAGAACAGTGTTAATTCATGCCTCTGTATTTGTCCTGTTTGATTTGTGTGGTATGTTTGGGTTTGATACGCCGTGCTACATTGACTGTATGATTACCATATCTATTAGTGGGGCATTAATAAAGTATATGTTTAGAATTAGACAGAATCTGTATTGTGAAAAGATGTTATATCCTGATATGTGGCCACCAAACTAGCTACCTGGACAGTCAGAAAGTTCTATTTAGTTTTAGGAAATTTTGTGCAGTCTGTAACTGACGGTATTTCTCCTACTGTCCAGAAAAGAGACATTCAGCTGCTAAAAGCCTACATGCGAGCAATCCGCAGTGCAAACCCCAACCTGCAAAACCTTGAGGAGAGCATTGAGTACAATGAGATCCTGGAGTAAGTGAAGTTTCTTGTTCTCTCCCATTTGTTATTGAGAGATAAAGACAGTTTCTAATTTTCTTTTCACATTTATCTTCAGGTGGGTGAACTCCATGCAGCCTGCCAGAGTGACACGCTGGGGCGGCATGATCTCCACTCCTGATGCTGTGCTCCAGGCAGTCATCAAACGCTCCCTCATCGACAGCGGCTGTCCTCTCTCAATTGTGAACGACCTGATCGAGAACGCCCACGAGCGTAACTGGCCGCAGGGACTGGCTACTCTCGAGACGCGGCAGATGAACAGGCGCTACTATGAGAACTACGTTGCCAAGCGTATCCCTGGCAAGCAGGCAGTGGTGGTGATGGCCTGCGAGAATCAGCATATGGGGGAGGATATGATCCTGGAGCCCGGCCTGGTTATGATCTTTGCGCACGGAGTGGAGGAGATCTTATAACTCTACATTTAGCTGAACGATCCAGAGACAAGTGGGGACGTTTTGCTTGGGGGTTTGCTGTGATGAGTTGGTTTTTCTTCTATGGAATGAAACCTTCTGAGTAAATCTGGCTTATTTAAAATAAAATCTTAGGCTCACTCCTAAGCTTGATACCTATGCCTTAAAGTAAGGACAAATACTTTATGAACCTGGCAAATATAAACTAAATCTGACTGATATCTAAGATAAAAGGTGAGATGTGATGTTTACAAGGTTTATATTTAGTGCATTATATGATCTGATTGTTCTGCTCCATGTCCTAATATAGTAATAAGCTTGAACCCCCATTTAATGTCCTCGGTTGTATAAATGCTTGTAAATACAAATACTATATTGAATTATAAATGTTATACTCCTCACTGTAATTAGATTGTGATTTTTGTTTATCTCAGTTTCGTTTCGTCAGCCTGAGCAGGGACGTCAACTCTGAAGATTTTCCACGTGCTTGCTTTAGTGTTTAGTTTCCTGTGAATATTTCACAAGACATTGTGCTTCTCAATTTAGATTGTCCAAACCTTCTGTGCCATTTGTTTTATTTATTGTGTTGCCTTTTACACAATCATGCTTGAAGATGTTACCATTTGATGTATGGAAATCTGCCTTTTTCGGTGCATTTGAAGTTCATTGCAGAAAGAAAAATTGATTTTTGTGTTTTCTTTGTTGCCTCAGTTGTACATATCGTCTGTATGTTGGATCCGTTTAAAGTGTTAAATTTGAGGTTTAACATTTGGGATTTAACTATATATAATGACTTTTATTTGACAAATCGTAATGGTTCACTTGTTCTGTGATCCTTATTTCATTTTTTTGATGATTGAAATATAGACATTGATCTTCTCATTCTTCATAGATATCAAACATCTTTTCACTGACATGCCACTAGAAGACACAGCTTGGAGATTGTACAAATACTTGTAAAGTCACTCTTAAGGCTTTTGAGAGGAAAAACTGCTTTACCATCAGTCACTTTTTGCTGTTGTAACCCAAGACTTCAGCTGACAGTATATAAGCCCACACAAGTGGTTTGTGCCCTTTACTATTTTCCTTGTTAATGTTTTTATTTGTTTCGTGTCTGTTATGTACCGTGTTGTACAGACAAGAAAGTAATAAAATGTCAAACTTCATCTTAAATTAATGCATTTTCTTATTGGGATAACCCGATTTTATATTTAGCATTTAATTAGGAAAAAATGCAGTTCCTTATTTTACCACACCATGTCATCAGAGATCTGTGGGGAGCTACATTTCTTGAGGGCATATCAGATGAAAATATCATCTAGAGATATCAATCAAGAGAAAAATGTTTCTTTTAAGAAATCAGGCCATTGAATAAGACATATGGGGTGTGTTTTGGTGCTGATCCAGTTCATGAAAACAGAGGAAAGTTTGATCACAAAACTCAGAAAGGACTGATTCCTCTGATCTGAGTCACTCTCCTTTTCTATGTCTAACCCAGACACCCACACGTTTTCCATGTCTGTTATTCTCTCTTGTCGGCCTCGTCCTCATTGTGGAGCCTAATCCCTCACCATTGTGGTCAGTGGAATGTGAAATCATGTGCTTTACCAAATACCGTGGCTTAGTTAATGTCAGCACACCGTTATGTGATGTGGTTGGATGTTACACAGAGGACACCAGCACCGCATACAGAATTGTCGCATACTCCTCAGAATACTCAAAGTACGTCAACATTTATACAAGAAAAGCTTTTAAAGTGCTTGAGATATTGTTCATATCAAGTAAAAGTATGCTAAAAAACTATGCTTGAATTAAAAATAATAAATGCAGAATGGAGGCCCTTGGGAGTCGTTGCACTGTTATAAATTTTACTATTAGATAAATATTGGTACATTCATGTGTTAAACTTATTTTAGTATTTCCTGTACTGCTGGGTGGTTCAACCTGGAAAACACTATTTCATAAACAACCACAGAACAGTGATGTTATGTAGGTGAAATTTTAATTTGTAAAGTGCCTGTTTGGACAGATATCAAATAAAGGTAGTGTAAGGAAGCAATAAGTGTAATATTTTCCTTTGCTACTTTGAAAAATGTACTAATTACGAAAAAGAAACACAAACTCGTTTGTTGATTGGCTGCAGAGGATCCATAAATAGTCCCTGTCACCTTCCGTATCAATGCGCAGTGTACGTTAAACTGCATGTAACCATAGTAACTGTACTCACGGTTGACTCATTGGTAAATAAAATAAAATAAAATAAAATAAAATAAATAAAAAATTACTACAGTCATCAAAGAAATCTAGAGGATATTCCTTTTCAATTTTGCAAAATATACTGACTGTAAAAAATAAAATAAAAAATAAAAGAATCCATAACCAAATACTCGGTTCTGATCGTAGATTATCATTAAATAGTCCCGTCACCTTCTGCATCAATGCCCAATACGTGTTAAAATAGCAAGAAATGACAGTAAAAACACTTTGAAGTACTTGTGACTCACAAAAAATATATAAATGTAGGCATTTAAGCTTCACAGAATAGCTTTATGCAGTATTAAATGTATTATTTGTTAACATTAATGTCAGCTTGCTGTAAATACAAAAATATGACTACACGAACGTGTCCCTGTTAGCTAGCTTTACATTACTGTACCTTAATCATTTTTTATCTTTGTGAGGCTTATTGTTTATTATAATTATTGTTATTATTATTATTGTTATTATTATTATTATTATTATTATTATTATTATTATGTTAAAACTGAGACTGAGGATGTTTAATAGGCTAGTTTCTACGGTTTTAAGTGGTGGTATAAGTTTGCACCCAAAGTTATTTTTGTGAAATTAGCTGTAACTCGTAAACTAGCTTGTAGCACTCAGCTATTTGTATGTAGGTTCACTGCAGCAGATACACTTCTAAGTTTCTGTATAAACATTGATAATAGCACTGCTACAGTTATTCGTTCGTTAAAAGCATTGAAATGTACACTGCATTGATTTCCTCTACGACAACAGAATGATAATTGCACTATTACCGGTCACGGCTGCATAATTTTAACGAGCGTGACTTTACAAGTTTGCAGATGGAGGCAGCAGCCCGGGCTGTGCATTGGTTAGCAGAGAGGGCGCTGAGCAGCTGAGGCGGTGCTTGACAGGAGGGATCCATTCCTCACTCAGTCTCTGCTCGGCACTAGTTCACCGCTTCCACTCCGTCGACCTGCTGCCGACATTTAAAGTTAACGGCCACTTTGCTTCCCGTCTGACAGCAGGATTTCGGACCGGCTGCTCTGCTGCACCGCGACGGTTCCACACAGAAAAACAGCCGAGAGCCAACTGAGAGGTAAAATGACTCAAAAACAAACAGTGCAGGTCCCGACTCGTATTGATTGAAGTTTCAGTGCAGCTCCAAAGCGTCTCTTAGCTGCAGATAAACGCCCGTCATACACGGGAGGGATCATTTTAGCTCGTTGATTTTTGCTGTCAAGAGTTGAATTGAAAATCCGACAGGATGCATCTGGTGATTGACTGCTTTCAGATCCGTGCACGCTTTTTTTTTTTTTTTTTTTTTTTTTAGATATAAAGAGACAGTACTGCACATAATCGTGTGCTAATAACAGAGTAATTCACTCAGCAAAACAACAACCAGCAGAGCAGGCCTTTTGCATTTTAATGCACTGACCTCTGCCTCGTAAGCATGCATCATTTCAGTTCTCTGTACGGTGTGAAATGATTGTTCATGTCAGGCTACTTGAGTTACCAGCGGGGAACCCTTCTCACAGTCTATTCAGAGAGAGCGATTTGTCTGTCAGAGTGAGCACTGAAGAATATTTGAAAATTTGTCTGAAGATACTCATTGATATGCTTTATTTACATTTTCCCAATACATTTAACAGCTAATTGTGCACTGAGCAAACAGTTTATTGTGTTATTGCTCCCAACTGATAGGGTCTTATCTGAGTGACCCCTGTCTGAGTATATGTGTGTGGCAACAGGGAATCCTGTAAAAACATTACATAGGATTTTCACTATGTTTTAGCCACTACTGGGATAGCAGAATTATTCATGGTGTGGAGTAGATGGTGGGCGTTGGTGGACACTGTCACTTCTGTGTGCTTGTTGTTTACGCTCTTCTTTCTCTGTCATTTGACTGCAAATGATGAGTGGGACTTTTACCCCTCATGTTAACTGGAAAAACCAAACATCTAGGATAGTCTAGATTTTTTCTAGGTTTGTATTTATCCCTTATTTGCATGAACTCTCAGTTTGAGAACCACTTTCTTTCCTGGTGATGCTTTCCATCAGCGGAGCTTCATGTATGTTATGCTATTGAATAGGTAGTTACAAAGCTGGAGAATCTCCACGGTATTCATTTGTTTTGTAGCCAGAAGAGAGTTTTCAGGCAGAGGCAATCAATACGGTAGTCAGGTCAATTGTGCCTTTGTTAATGTTTACATCAGAGGCTAGAGGCTGTAAATGTACGATAATTTGGCCTATTTTGGGATTTATTTTGTAAATGTTAACCGTTGCTCTGTGGTGTTGCAGTGTGATCGGAGAAGTGGCATCGAAACCTTTTGTTTGCAGATTATTTCACTTCTCCAAATACAGTAGTTGAATCTTCCAGTTACAGTTTACTTCCTTCGCTATATCGTCACCTCAGCCTGAATCATGGATTTCTACTGAAAATGACTGGCATTCTTAAATAAATGGTCCCTCTTTTATGATCACTCCATGGTATCATGCTGTGACTTATGACGCACCTTATTCCGTCTGAGTTCGCCTCATCCATTCATACTCAGAAAAGAATTCAAATTCGCAAATGTAATCAATAGATTTTAAATCCCTGATGAACTGATATGATAGTTGGGAAAACTATGTAATTGCATTTCGAGTCAAATTTTTGATAGAAGTGACATTCAGTGTTGTTTCATTTTCAATTGTGAACAGATCTGTGGGTGAACCAGGCGAGACTCTCTGTTATGTGCAAACAATTCCACCATAAAAGTGAGTGTAGCTGCTGAATGACAGTATGCACCCTCACAAGTCTCGGCAGGTTTGAGGTTTTTTTTCTTCTCTCTTTTTTTCTGAAACCAGCACGGTGTTCTACAAGGCTGCCTCCACACAAAAAAAGCTATTATATAAGTCACATTCAAGTCTGAACCCAGAGTGATTGGCAGTCATCACTTTGAAGCTGGGGAGCGAGCAAAGCCTCGCCTACATTTTCCAAGAAATCTGTGATTCATGCTGTGGTGACTGTATTTTTTTTCTTTTTTTCTTTTTTTTGTCTAGTTTTTTTGGTCTGATTTACAACCCATGTTTATTGTTTTCAGTTTCTCCAGTGTTCCTACTAACAGGAGACTCTTTGCATACCACCCAATTCCACAAATATCACCATGGAGTGGTGCAGACAAGGGAAGCCCTGTTTTAACAGAGCATGCTCGGCTGTGATTGTGCAGTTATTTTGAATCTGCTTCCTGCATTAAAACACAACTGTCATGGATAAATTATATGCCATCTGTAATAAAATCATCCACCTATCCAGGGCCTGTTTAGTCTATTAAATAAATTACATAAATTATATCAACAATTTGTCAATATTTCATTGACTGAAGCAAGTGAAGATGTATAAAAAACACACACAGGGGAAGTAGTGGTTAGAGGCTAAAGCTCCAGGGATACATAAACATGAAGAAGTGGCATTTCTTCCCCTGGCAGGGGTTTTTAGCTTCTGGCTTAACCTGCAAAGTGACCCCTTAAGCAAACAGTCCATTTATAGTAAGGGAGTATTCCCCTGTTCATGCAATGAGTCACAGTAGCATCTGCATGTAGAATGCAATTTAGAGCATGACCCCTGGTTCTGAAGGCCAAATGAGACTTGTGACATGGGAGGAGGTGCAGCTGAAGGGGGAAGACTCACAACAACGGGCCTTCCTTTCCCTTAGCTGACTACCTCCCTTTCTGCCAGTGGATCCTCCTACCTGTTAGTCACCCGTGGCAGCACTTTGACGGAGAGCAGCTGATGGAGGGAAACACTTTCCATAGCAACCAAGCATGTCTGTCCTTCCCCTTCTGTTAACCTGATGCAATCTGTACACACTTCAGTGAAGAGAACTGTTGTAGTTTCAGGAGGAAAACAAATGCCCAGCATTACATGCAGACTTACTTCAAAGAACCTACGCAGTGTTTTCCAACCACAGAATGACGGATTCAGTGACTTACACTCTGCAAGTGTTGCAAAACAGCAGATTTCCTTGACACAAGGCGTGGGCGTTATGACAGCTTGCACAAACATTAGCCTGCATGGAAAAAAGGTCATCCCCAAGTATACCTTAAACTAATACTGGTAAAGAGAGTGGTTTTGTGGTTGTTAACAATTTTACATCAAGACATTAGGAGTTCATTATTAAATGCCATCTGTGAAGGAAAATGCCAAGCTAACCATCCACTCTAATCCTCCAATTTTTTCACTATGTGACTTTTATGAAGCTGTTGCTTCCGTGTTTTTCAGTTAAGTTGCCAGAAATAAAAGTGAGTGTCAGGCTGTAAACAGATGGTTTTTCAGAAGTTTATTGGGGAATAGATGCTGCTATCATGAGCTGTTACTAACCACTTTAACATTTAAATTGTTCTTTAGTGCTATTTGAAGAACCACTCGTGGGGCTGTAGCTTTACTACATGTCTGCTCGGAATATGACTCGCACCATTTATTCTGCACTGATTATATGGAGCGACATTTTGTTAAAACAAAATTATACCTCAGACTGTCTGTCAGCAGAGCAGACCAAAGTAAATCACACTGAATGATGACTATGGGACTCCTGTTAGCCCACATTTAAATCTTTCTCATGTCTACACAGCAGAGACTCTTCCACATAAATGTTTCTATAAATGAACATAAACAGTTCCCTCATAAAGCATCTACCATTTAGCTTTAGCCCAGCAGTGTGACCTTATTGAGAGTCCAGTTAGTCACATGGTCTGTATGAAGTCTTAACAAACTTCAGACATTCTCAAAACCTCCTGAAATATGTATGCTTGCTTCAGTAAGCTCATTTAGTTGGTGCCACTGTTTTTCAGAAGTGCATCCCATGTTTGTGAGTGCAGACAACTGGCTCAGTATATATTACTCTATCCATCTCTCCTCTAAGTACATGAACGCTTCTTCCTGTGCTCCATGTTCTGAATGGCTCTGATTCCCTCTCTGCATTGTACATGCAAATCATTATCTAATAAGGAAGTGAGGAATCAGATTACTCAGATAGGCTCAAGATCTTGTTGAACCAGACAATAATGATGATGACGCTCAGTTGGTAAGGAGACAAAATAGAAGTGAGGCTTCGCATGACATCACGCTCTTCTGGAGAGCTTAAAGACAAGAAAGGATGGACGACACCCACAAGGTATCTGAAGTTTCACGTGTGTTTTATGTGCAAATAAACTCTGAAGCCTATTTTTAGTTTATTTATAAGACAGAGTTTGAAGTCGGAGTCAGAAGTATATTTTTAGAATAAACTGTTTTAGGCTGTAATCTGGTGATCAGTAGCAGATGGCATCTCATGATTCCTTCATGTGTCACTTTGCTGTCGATACAGACCTGGCCCACCTGATCGTCTGCATAAACAGAACTGCTAGGCAACACTGCTGACCTTTTGAGGGAATTAAGTGAGGACAGTATGAACCTTTCAGAGTCCAAAGAGAGCAAATGGATCCAAATGACATGTAGGGAGTGGGTGGTTTTTCAGATCATTTCATTTCTTTCTCTCAGTGCATTCTTTGTCATTTAAGCACTCTGATTTTCTGTTCAGTGGAGGCAGTCATCATTGGTACCTGCACTGGCTGCACTTTAATGTGTGAATAACACCTGTGGACAACAGCGTGAACAACAAATTTACAGTGAGGGCCTACTCATCATCCTGGACTGAAAACCACCATACAGTCTATTATGCACCTTCATTTAGCATTTGTGTCGTTGGTGATATAATGGTTAGTGATCTCAAACATGTCAGATCAAAGTCCGCGTATATAACTCTTCAGAACTGTTATGCCAAGTTCAGTATATTTATCCTGTTGTATTTTCAGCTCTTTTTTCCGTGTAATTCTTTTAATCGCAATCACATTGTTAAATGGATGATTACCAGAATTGCCCTTGGATTTTTGGTTTTCTGCCAATGAGATGCTCTTAAAGGCCTTTGTAGTTATAACTCTTTGACTGCACATCATATTACTGCTGACCATTTTTCAAAGCTTAATGTGAAGTTTGTTCTGCTCGATCTATCTTTACCATTTTCTATTCCAGTCTTCTGTTGCACTTCAGTTTCCATTTCCAAACTTTAATCAAATCAATTAGCATTGTTTCTCAACATGTGCACTGCAAGAGAGTAGTCTAAAAAACAATATTTATTGTTTCTGAATGTTCATTATTGCTGCATGATAAAGCATGATAAAGCAGATTGATTTAGAATGTGTGCACTACGTAACCTCATAATGGCAGTTTCATTTCTACAAAAAACCTCATACCATTTGTAGTGATTGAGTACACAATTAAAATGTTGTTTATCATTACAAAATATGGAACTCTTTAGCATGCATGACAAACAAACAAAAAAACGAGTTATGTGAAGTATTTTGGGGCTAAAGCAGGCAAAAGTACTGATGTGTTCCTTCAAGGCAAGACTAATTAAATTTTGCTAATTACAGTGAAGTGATTACAGGATAATGGTATGTGATAAAACATTGTGCAAAAGGAAGAAGTTTGCCAGCGTTAGCCACCGTAAGCCACAAGCCATAGCAGACCAAAAAAGATTAGAGTACCAAATCCCCTGAGATAAATTAATACAGCAAGGGTGCAATTTATTGCTTATTGACTCAACATTTTTTTTTTTTTTTTAGTCATTAACAGATACCTTTAGTGAATCAGAATATCGTGTGTGCTCTTTCTTGCTGCTAATTCTGTCCGACCTAATGGAAAGATCACATATCTTGCACACATAATTGCAAAACACTGAGTGGAAGTACATTAGGTATTCTATAAATTCTGTATTGATTGTCCATATATTTTGCCGTTGAACCGTTTTTATCGATGTGTTTTTACAACAGCAACATTAAACAGGATGTCAGGTTAGCAGCTTTCTCCTTCCATTATCTAGTTTCTCCTCTATCGTCACTGATTAATGAACTATATATTTGTCTGCTTGTTTTCCTGTCATCATAAAATCTCCGTCCATTATGTTTAAACAGCGTGTTTGCTTCTGATGAAAGTCTGCATAACATACCCATCAAATGGTCATTCAGGCTTCATGCTTCTAGCGATGTGCTAGGCCAATTTTTATTGCAATTACAAGCTCCTTTTCTGTGTCAGATTTAAATTTCATGGTCACTGTCAGCTTTGTGTGACATTTAAGTCTCTTCCTTTTGTTTAAAGGGGACGCCCCTTGACAGGCCAGTTTGGTTTTTGAAACCTCTCCACAGCAATGTGTCATTTATGTCTACATTTCAACACATCGTTGCACTTTTTGCACTAAATTAAACACTCCATGTATCTGGTATTTTGTAGAGCTAAAATGAGCCAGTAATTATATGGAAGGAGACAGTGGATGCACAGAATCCCTTGAGTCGAAGTATCATGGGTAGCTTTAGCCTGACATAATTTCTGCCAGACTTTTGGCCCAGTTTTTACTTGCTCGTTGCATGTACTGATGGTGTGAGATCTAAAACAGTCTAAAGGGATAAGAAAATGTTTCATGTTTGGCAGTGAAGCTGCATTTCAGAGCAGCACAATAAAAAACAGTTATTAACACACATGTTGAGGATAGACTGTCGGTTAATGAACACAGACCCTGCTATAATTTTCCCCTGATAAAAGACATTTTTACTTGTGCACAGCTCTGCGTGTTCTTGGTTCTGCTTCACACAAAGTTTGGATATTGAGCGTGATGCTCCTTGTCTACAATGATGGATTTTTACTGTGTGAGATGGAAGATGCTATCTTTTGCTTGCAGCCATGCTTTTATGTTTTACAAAGAAGCGGGCCACTGTGCACCCACCTTCTCTTTTCTCTCCGTCTGTGTCTCACTGTTTCTCTCGCCTGTACACAGGCAGGCAGTTAGTGCAGAAGCAGGCACCATGTCCACCCCCACAAACCCAGAGGTGAAGGAACTGAACCCTGTCGACTTTATCCAGCTACAACAGTACATTGAATGTGAGTACAGACAGGCAAGCGGGCGGGCGGGCGGGCGGGCAGGCAAGCAGCTTTCGCAGCGCTTAACGCCACCCCCCCCCCAACTTCCACTTCCACCCACACACACTCATTTACACTCGCTCATGGTTTCTCATATCAAGAGGAGGTAGCAGTCTACCACATTCTCTCTCTCTCTTTTTTTTTTTTTTAACAAAAAAAAATGCACGTATTTTGCTGTACTACAAATAAATGTATGTCTTTATTGTATAATCATATGAGTAATTATATGTGAGAAATGTGAATGGTTACTCACAGTAAGCGCAACGATTGCTGCACTACCCTCATTTGCAGAAGGGTATCCTGGTGTGACCTATGTGTCTTTACTTCCAGACTGCAGCCTGAAGGTGAAAGACGTACTGATGGAATTTGATGCAGATGGCAGTCTGGCCCAGCACAGACATGGAGAGGTGAGGGGAGTGCGTCCTGCTGTTCACAGTCAAGTCGACTCCTCCAAAGCTGACTCACAGTGATGTCAGCCACAAGGCACATAACTGAACTGAATAACAGCTCTCATTGTAGCTGTTCAGTGTGAAATGAGAATGTGATTTAACTACATTAGGAAGTTATTCATAATCCTATGCTGATTAATTAGACTCAAAGCTATCGATCATGATGACTAACTTGTCCATGAGAAATATATCTCCAGCACGTTTGAGCGAGGCTGCAAATGTAAATTACCTCCTTAGATTAGCCCACGCAGCAAGGCCTTGCTGAACAGTGTGCTGGCTGCCCTTATGCAGTGTAAGCTCAAATGTGATTGAAAAAAGGTCTTTCCAATGCTGCATCAGTGGTTGACACTGCCAGCTAATTTGTGCAGGAAGCCAATTCACTAATTTCTGATGGATTCTTTGGCTACATTCAGTTTAATTGGAAAATTGGAAGGAAATGTGGGTTTTTATAATGGGGAGAAAACAGAAATGCAGCCATAAAGTACCAGTTAATGGCAGTCAGAATACGCAGAACAATGAAATTATTTATTGTAAGTGTTGGTGTGTTCAGAATCGTGATGCAGCTCCTGTGGTCTCCCTCTATTTTTTTCTTTTCCTCTTGTGATCTGGCTTCTTTGCTATGACATTATTTATTACCGAAGCAGCTCTGCAGGGTATGAACCAGGGAAATGGAATAGTGTCAACAAAAAATGGGTTTGTGGTTCACCATTATCGAGGGACTACTGCTTGTTAGCCCTGCAGCATATTCTTCATGTGAGAAACACGGATACCACACCAGACAGATGGACTGAAATCTTGAATCAAGAGCTTTTTTTTGTCCAATTTAATGGTCACATGAAAACCCCACAATCACTCCAATTTTGGAGATATATATTTATTTATAAATAATGGAATAAATGTATCTTAGAAGCATCTTGGGCTTAAAAACATGTCAACCCCTTCTAGATACGCTTACATGACACTTGAGCTCAAAACAAGGATGTTTTTCTGAGAAAGTAACACTTGTCAAATGTGATTTTCACATGGTAGCAATAATCTGATGATCATCTTCCTTTATTTTTAGAAGGGGCAAATTTAAAAAAATGCAGAAGTTAACATGTATACCACAGTGACACTTTAGTCTTTTCATGTTAGCTACACCTAACCATTGTACACAAGATAAACTTCTTCCATTCATTTTTTCCCAGTGCATCAATGAAGAAGGCTTTCGTCTGTTCCTGAAGACATATTTAGAAGAGGAGGACTTCCCTGTGGATCTCTGCCAACGACTCTTCCGCTCCTTCCAAAACTCTGAACCCACCCAGGAAGACAGTACCAGTGAGATTATATATACACCATGTATTCACTCAGCTCACTGCCTTCACACTACTTTCAGCGGGCCCTTATCAATTTACACCATGGCCTATTTGGCATACATTCATTTATCACCACATGTCTGTACGGCACTATTTGTGCAGATATAGTTACCACAGTTTTTACAGCCCCCTCTCTCTCCTCCATCTCTCCTGTAGAGGAAGTCTTCCTGAAGGATGTTTCATGTTACTTCTCTCTTCTAGAGGATGGCCAGCCCCGGGACAAGTTAGAGTGTGAGGCCTTTGTTTGTTTTCTTCTAAAAATAGTTTGCGTGATGACTTGTTCTAGTAGTTCTACTATAGTTTCCATTCTCTCCTTAGTTGCTTTCAGGCTCTATGACAGAGATGGCAATGGAGTCCTTGACAGCTCTGTAAGTTTCTGAGAAAATTTTGCTGGAAAGATCATGAGTGTATCATATCAACTACAGTGCTAAAAGAAGTCTTTTGTTGCTTTTCAAACAGGAAGTGGATCGAATTATTGCTCAGATGATGCACGCTGCAGAATATCTCGACTGGGACGTGTCAGAGCTCAAGCCTGTAAGTTCTACAATGCACTACCCTGAAATGGAAATTCCTCACAAACACATGAAACCCTATAAATGCTGTACTTTGGCATGACAGTATCGTTAATGTATGCACAAATAACACATTTGTTTGCTCAAGATATCCTTTACAGTGTTACATACAATATATAGCAGTGCTTGTTACTCATTTGCTAGGGATCATAAATCAAATGATAAGCTTCCCTGCTACTCAAATTCACCAATTCCGATGCATGGCTAGTTACAGGGAAACATATGGCCCTTTATAAGTGATAGAAATGTGTGTGCTGATTGGATAATAACAACTAAATGTGATTTCATCAGGTTCTGAAGGACATGATGACAGCAATTGATGCTGACAGCAGCGGCACAGTGTCTCTGGAAGAGTGGGTAGAGGGAGGCATGAACAACGTTCCCTTGCTGGTCTTGCTGGGTCTAAAGGTGCTTAATAAGCAACATGTTTCTTTTGTCATTAAGTGTTGGCTCCAAAAGTCAGGTTCAGATATAATTCATTTTTACAGCAGGTGTCTAACAAAGTGCTAACTGCTCTTGCGAAACCCTGGCCTTGCGTGTCTCTCTCTGTCCTTTGCCTCCTCCTCCATGCCTGTAAGCGCCTTTTTGCCGACTCAGTGTTACAGGGTGTGGTAATGTTATCCCCTCTCATGCAAGCTCTGCACCATAAGAATGCTTAAGTGTTTTCCATTTACTCGGCACAATGTAAGTGCTTTCATAAAATAGCAGTCTTTAGTGCTGATGCACTCTATTTGACTAAGGAAATGAGTAATTTTAACATTAGGTATAGACGTAGAAATGATTATCTTAAACCAATGACAGAACTGCTTTGTGTTGTGGGTGTTGTTTCATGTGTTGTGAGGAACGTAAAAGGCGCTAGCAGCCGGTCTGCTGGCTCACTGTGGCGATCTAAAACCACAAACTAGACTCTGTAACTGGGTTTGGCCTCTACAACAATGCCAGGGACTTCCCCTTAGGCTATTTCTAGCCACCAATGGACATTTGAAGCCTGGGGTGCATGAATTCAGCCCCCTCACAGTTGCTGTGTGCTGCTACCCATAATGCCTCGTGCAGCAAGTGATAGGCTGATGCATCATGTCGTAAAAAAGCATTTAAATGTGTAATCTGGATAAGAGCGCTGGTCACTCTGTAAACAGATTTAAAGCAACCTTATAATCTTGTGAAAGATTACAGTTAGTTTTTGATTTGAATGTGCATGATGTTGTATAGTATGTCATATGTAGAGTCACTACATACTGCATAAGGAGCAGTTCCAATAAATCAAGGCTTGTCATGAGAGGGTGCCAAAAACAGCTGAAATGCAAATGTGTTGTTGTGTTGTTGATCCAAAGTTAAACAAGCTTCTTTTCTGACCAAATTTATTTTTTCTACTCTAAATGCAAACAGTAACAAATATCTTAAACCATTATTTTCTTCCCTTTCATGCATTGCCGTCTTCAACAATCAGATGACTCAGAAGGACGGGCAGCACCTTTGGCGGATGAAACATTTTAACAAGCCTGTTTACTGCAATGTGTGCCAGAGCATGCTGCTGGGTTTGAGGAAGCAAGGGCTGTGCTGCACCTGTGAGTACCTGAGCTCACCACAAGAGGGTGACACTGCAGTGACACTTATCACAAACCATTGTTGAGAATTGCATGATGCTTTTTGGATCACTTAATACTCATCTGGCAGCTTTACCTTTAACAGGGTAATTTGTTTTCGTTTAAAAATGATTGAACAGCTGGTTTGTGTATCCTATCATGCAGGTTGCAAATACACAGTCCATGGGCGCTGTGCTAACAGGAACCCGGCCCCTTGCACCAGGACATATGTGAAGTCAAAGAAAGAAACAGGGGTAAGCTGGTGTCTCCACGACAACCTTCACAGTGATACGCACAGTCTAAATTTGACTTCATCCTATATCTGAGTGTTCTTATATGGACATTTAAACATGCATCCCACTTTTCAGGTTGCAGCACACGACTGGGTGAGTGGGAACTGTGACTCCAGGAAGTGTGACAAATGCCAGAAGAAGATCAAGAGCTTCCAAGGCTTGACAGGCAAACACTGTGTGTGGTGCCACACTATGGTGAGGAAGCATCTTAGTGCGTGACTGATTTTTTGAAATACATAGCTTAGTAAAATAGTTTCTGAGCACTGAAATGATTTGGTTGCATTGCCTGCACTTTGGTTAGCAAATTGCCTGATTGTGGCCCATGCTGTTTGCATTTAAATACAATCTAGGAAGGTTGGTTTGCTTCGTTCTTTACTGTCCTGTCACTTACCTCTCTAAGCATCCAACAAAACAAATGCCAAAAAAATCTTTTAGAAGATAAAATTGGATTCTGTCAGTCATCACTGTTATTCTCAGAGTTTATGCAATGTGTCACGAATTTGTGTTTTACAGCGTCATGATGAATGTGCAAATCAAGAGCCAACAGAATGTACCTGTGGGCCGCTCAGAGACCATATCCTGCCTCCGTGGGCAATATATCCTGTTATAAAGGTACAAAATTATCTTCAGGCACATCTCAAGTGCATGTACAGTACAAACAGTGCCTGTCACACCAACGCAGAAGATAACATCAGCCCAGAGCTGTTTCTTGTTGTTGGTAAAGCCTTCTCACCTGTGTGGAATTTAACAGGTACAGTGTGTAGATGTTTTTTCCTGTCCTCAAAAGGCAAGAAAAGCTGTTAGATTTTCTCTGGTTTATTTACTCTGTACCTTAGTGAATGTGGTACAGGTGGTAGAGTGTCCACTGCTTTCAAGCTGATCTGATCCCTTCCACAAGCAGTAGTTTCCTTGAACACGACACTGAACACAAAGTTGCTCTCAGTGGCTGGCGAGTAGCCTGCTCCGTCATCACTGATGTGTGAATGTGTGTGCGAGTGAGAAAGACTGTAAAGCACTTTGAGTAACTCCAAGTTAGAAAAGCGCTACATAAGTGCAGACTATTTATCATTACTTTGTTTTTTTCCCTAAAGGAGAGACCAAATAATGTAAAAAACGGCTGCTCAGCAGAAGACAGTGAGCTCAATACTACTCCTGATGGACAAGTGCTGCAGGTGACAACAACGACTATTATTAATGCTGAATAATGACTTCTTGACAGCCAGTAGTATTTTTTTTTCTGTTTTAGATTTTGTCAGTATATAATTAATACCATTTGTTTATAAATCAACAGATTGCCCCTGTGCCAAACACCCATCCTCTTCTAGTGTTTGTCAACCCTAAAAGTGGTGGCAAGCAGGGAGAAAGGTGAGCCAAAAAATACAGTTTCATGACAAAAGAAATTCATTTCCATGCGCATTGCTAAGCTGTGAATTGTTTTTTTCAGAGTCCTACGTAAATTTCAGTATTTACTGAATCCACGGCAGGTATACAACCTTTCAAATGGTGGCCCTGGACCGGGGTAAGTGATTGGTACAACAGATTATGCCCAGCATAACTATAAAATTTCTGTCAAAATCTGTACATTGGCATTATTCCTGACCACATTTTAGGGAATACTTACCAATGTTTCAGGACTTGCTGTTATAGTTCTTGTCATCATCTCTCTTTCAGACTGAGTTTCTTCAGAAATCTGCAGGACTACAGAATCTTGGTGTGTGGGGGAGATGGCACAGTTGGATGGATTCTAGATGCGATAGGTGAGGCTGTTGAACCAGCTTTACTAGAAACTCATGTGGAAATTATTGTGAAACACTTCCTTATTATTTCCCCTTTTCTTGCGATCAGACAAAGCCAATCTGCTGGTACGGCCACCTGTTGCTGTGCTTCCTCTGGGCACCGGAAATGACCTTGCACGATGTTGGGGAGGAGGTGAGAAATTATTGAGAGTCGGAGCGTTGCCTTAAGCGCAATGTAAAATGGAATTATTATTATTACTATTATTATTGTAATAATTGAATAATTGCACTTCTACGAATTGCTTTATTTTGTATTTGTGCAAATGAAGGCGCTCAGTCATGTTGGTCTTCTCTTTGTCTTTTGCAGGATATGATGGCGAAGATCTGAGTCGTATTCTCAGAGACATTGAGGGAAGCTCTCAGGTGCTGATGGACCGCTGGAGTGTGCAGGTTATCACAGATGAGAGTCAGGAGAAAGGTGATCCAGTGCCATATGAAATCATCAACAACTACTTCTCCATTGGAGTTGTGAGTTTCTCAGAAATATGCCACACTAGAGAAAGTATTTTGTTTTCGGCTTTGGGGTTTGGATCATTGCTACACTGTGTTGTGTTGACAGGATGCCTCCATTGCCCACCGGTTTCACACAATGAGAGAGAAACACCCCCAGAAATTCAACAGCAGGTATTCTTGTTTGTTAGAACATTTCTAGGGCACTTTCTCAGGAAGTGCAAACAAAGAAAAAAGAATTTAAAATCCTACAAAAATAAATCAAATACAACGCTGTTTGACAATCATACCTCCAACAGATACACTGTTTAACAAACAAAACAGAGCTGGGGACACTGTTTTTCAATTTTCTGTCACCAGTCTTACTTGTATATCTTTTCCTGTTTGCAGTCACAGTTTTTTTTTAAAGCTGAGTAGCAATGAATGCAAGCGGTGACAGCAGATGTCTGTGGCAGCAAGTGTTGCCACTTGACTCCTGCTCCTTCTACAGAGCTGCGTGTGCTAATGTTCTGTGAAAGTGAAATATCACTTAATCCTGAAAGAAACACTTTTTTTAATTGCAGGATGAAGAACAAGCTGTGGTATTTTGAATTCGCCACTTCAGAAACCATCTCTGCTTCCTGCAAGAAACTGAGCGAAAGCTTAACAATCGAGGTGAGAGCAATGCACCAGCGGTACCGGCTTTGCAAATGTGCATTTTGTCTTTTATGCTTTCAGTTTTAAATGCAAAACTGTCTGTGTGGCCTTCTGTGCCTTCTCCCAGTGCTGTGGTACCACACTCGATCTCAGTGCTGTGTCTCTTGAGGGAGTTGCTGTCTTGAACATTCCCAGCATGCACGGTGGCTCCAACCTATGGGGTGAGACCAAAAAAGTGGACACTAAGGGACTGATGAGTCAGGAAGAGCCTGAGGTGATCGTCAACCCAGAAATCCTTAAAGTGACTTCCCAAGGTATTTTGTCATTGGCCTCAACCTTCAACTGAATGGTGACATTAAACCAGAGTGCACATGAGATTCTTGGAAATCTTATATAAAGACTAATAAATGCTTTTCAGATGAAAAATCCCCTCTACTAATTGTTTATGAAAAACTCAAAATCCAGATTTCCAGCTGCAGCAGCCAGCTGGTATCATTTTAAAAAAACTGATAAACTGTGCAAACTGAGCAAAACCTGCCCAACACCAAAGCACACACTGACTGAACTAGTGGCTGGCTGGTTAACATAGTGAAACATTTATTAACTCCCAGACAGATTATTTTACATTTTTTGGAGATCAAAACACAATAGTGGCCCTTAGAGCTCAACATACAGACACTAAAGAAACTTATGGAAATTGAACATACTCAGATGAATAAAACATGTTAATCAATTTGGCCACACATATGCAGCAAGACTAAACCAAATACAAAAAATACTGCATGTTGTCTACAGAGGTGTTGTCAAAGTCGTGAACATGTTTTCTTCATTTACTACTGTTGCGTTTATTTGCAGGCCTTTCCTTAAAGATAGAATCAGTGACGCTAATCCAACATATTTTTTTTGACAAATTCAGTGAATGTGTTCTTGCTGCCTACTAGCCGTTTGTTCTGTGTGCGCTGAAAAAAGGCAGGTGTTTGTACGTGGTGCTGTCTCTGTAAATGGAAAATAAACCAATCGACACAACACTATTCCAGTGTGTCCTCCGCACGTTTAGCTCATGCACACTACAGGGGGAAAGGGAGGAGGAAGGGAGATGGGAGGAAGAAGGGCAGTGGGAGTGTAAGGGATAATAAACATCTAAATGTGCTAACTGGCGAAAATCCAACATTCTTCCACCAGAATCACAGACTCCACCTTTAAGTGGCCATGTTTTGCACTGTCAGTGCCACTACTAAATAGAGCTAAAAGGAGAATAAATATTGGACTTAAATTCAGCAAGTGGAAACAAATGAATGTTAATGTTGCTCATGTCTCCTGGATGGATGAAAAGATAACTGTTTAATTAATTAAAGGAGGAGTGTGTAGGATTTAGTGTGTTCAGTGGCGTCGCAGTTTGCAACCAAATAAATACCCCTCACCTCACATTCCCCCTTCAAGTATGTGAGGGAACCTATAGTGCCTGCAAAAAATGTGAAAAAAGTGGCCTTTCTAAAGCCAATGTTTGGTTTGTCCGCAGTGGACTGCTCTACAAACGTGGCGATGCAATATGCTGGACTCGTGGAAGAGGACTCTCCCTTTTTAGTTATAAAGAGCTCATTCTAAGGAAGCAAAAACATGATTCATATTTTCAAGTGATTACACACGAGTGAAAACTAAATTATAGACATTATATTCCATTTCTGTCAATAGATCCTGTGTTTGAAATCTGTCAACAAAAAATACAACCAAGCAAAAGTCTTTCTGGTATTTTGCTCCACCATTTTCAAATGGACTCATGAGTATATGAAGATCAGAGAGCTCCACAGCAAAGAGCAACACAATACAACACTTACTGTAGTTGACAGTTAAAAGTCCAAGGGAGGAGAAGTGTCCCGCACATTTACTGTTATAGTTCAATCTTTGTCATTCTTATCTTTCTCGTGACTGAACAAACAGTTTCTATTCACCCTGGACTCTTACCCGGAAAGAGCCCAAGATCTTTGCCCACACCTGCATGTCATTGCACATAATAATTATTTTTCTTCACAAAGATCCACCTAAACCCCGCACACTTGTACTTTCGTGCAGTGTTAAGAGGGTAAATTACACAAATTAATAATGAAACTTGCACTCATGTGATGACACGTTTGATTTGGATGTACGACTCAGTTACAGTTTTTTTCTGGCCACTTGAGGGCAGCAGAAACTAACAGTAGACTCACTGACAACTAAAATTTTTTTCCACCTCGCTGACAAACCTGCCTATTTACACATCCAGGACACAGACTACTCATTTGGAGCTGTGTTTGGAACCATGTGACAAATTCAAATCCAGTGTTGACTCTTTTAGCTCTGATTTTGGTCCTATGAGGAAAATATGTAATTGCTTGATGCGCCGCTGTGTTCACCAGCTAGTTGCTAATTTTTTCTGTCTGGGTTGGTAGTGTTCAGTCAGTTTATCAGTGATAATTTTACTGAAAGCTGCTGATGGAAGCCACATTTACATTCAAGTGATCCTTCCAGATGAGCCACAATAGATATGTGATTTCTTGGTAATATAAAATATTGATCATAATCAGTTCAAACTATATATTATATTTAACAAACTTTGAATTGTTCAATTTAAGTTTTAGTATCGATATAAATGTATCCAGGAATGGATGTACATAATGTGTCCAGGTCATTCACAGTATGTGTTACTTTTATTTATTCCCTCTGTGATGCAGAATAACTATAACTGACATCAGGTTTTGTATACGACTGATCTGTGTTCCCTCTGTGTATGGACGCCTCAGTATGTCCCTGTGTTCTTGTCAGATCTCAGTGATCGTCGATTAGAGGTCGTCGGCCTTGAAGGAGCTATGGAGATGGGGCAGATTTACACAGGCCTCAAGAGCGCTGTGCGGCTTGCGAAAACTTCGCAGATCACCATAAGGTGAGAATCAGCTACAAGACTTGTTGAGACATGACTGTCTTGCGCTCTGAGTGTCGACAAGGGCAATGGCTTGTAGTTGACTTGACAAGGGGATAATCGTTAGTGGCTTCTTTACATAAGATCGTACATTTGCATTCACCTTTTGGTATTTTAACTGCACCTGAGGGTTACTGGTATAGTTGCATGTTGTTGATGCCTTTCTACTTTGCATCCAGGACAAAGAAGGCATTACCAATGCAGATAGATGGAGAGCCGTGGATGCAGCCTCCCTGCACGGTAAATCCTGCACAGACACAGACACGCCACAGCTGCCTCACAATTACAGCTACTTTTCCTAACAGTGAAATTGTTTGGTTTGATTCCACTGTAACTCACTGGGCATTTTTGCATTTCATATTTTCTTTTCAGATTCACATCACACACAAGAATCAAGCCAGTATGTTGATGGCTCCTCAGGCCAAATCATCTGGTTTTTTCAACTACAAATAAAACCGACCGACTAAATGCACGTGTTTGCTGTATATAGAGGACTGACACTTTTTTAAAATATAAAATCAGTTTGATTGTGTATGTTGTATAATAATCACGTTGTAACAGTCGAAGTAAGCATAACTGTCTCAGAGTTTCTGCGTCACTGTAACACATAACCGAAGCATGGCATGATACCAATATCAACTTTATGGTAGGATATATTTGCATTGTGGCCAAATGATTTTGACCAAGTTTTCCTTAGTGTTTTTATCAATACTTAACACTTTCGCTATCTCAATGCTTCTTAGTGGAAGTGCAGTTCTGTAGGAACTTAAAGTAAGGTTAAAGTAAAGTTAATATCATGTTACCAGACGAATATTCAGCTTTATGTGCCTTTACAATCTGTTTTCTATGGTTATGGCTTAGGTAGAAGACATACAGAGCGCTGTGTAGACATGCACTTTGAGCATAGACCATGTAGTATTGCTGTTTTTTTTTGTGACTGTGAAGATGCTCTGAAAGTCAGATAATATGTTCATGTAAATTTGGAGCCGTAAGTGAAGGAAAGACAAGACTACTTTATAAACATAAGTTTTGTTCCTTTTTTTTAATCATTTCATAAGATACTTGAAGGTGTTTGAGGGAACAGTTAAGGGACAATTATTGCCAATAGGGCTGCAGCTGTCAGCCTGCTGTTCCTGTGCGTGTGTGTGTGTGTGTGTGTGTGTGTGTGTGTGTGTGGGCAGAGAGCTTATTTTCTTGAGAGTGGAAAGCTGAGATATATTCACTTGTGACCTATAATTTTTTAATTTGTGATGAGTTGGATTTGATGTCGTCGGTTTAGACGAATTTTAATGTATGTAGTCTTTATTTAAATGCTCTATCAGTCATTTAATTTCAGTATATCTGGAGAATGTTAATGTAATGTGTCTGAAATTACTCACGATTTTAATAAATCACCTGGGCTTCAGTTTTTGTTTTACTTTTTTTTTTTTTAAACACATCACCTTCAGTTTTACTTGTGGTACCTCATGTTTGAGCCACAGGGGGGCATCATTGACTGCTGGCTGAAACATGAGTTGGTCCACTGACTCAAAATAATTGTCTGCTGCGCCTCTGTTAGATTTAACTTTTTATTTTATTTTTACAACTCAATCTGTTTGTTGTCAAAGAGCAGATCGAATCTGTATAAGATTTTGCCCTGGAGAATATTTCTGAGAAACAAAAACACTAAAGCTGGAGGTCCTTCTGCAAGCAACAAATGCTGCCTTCACATGCTGTCGGACATATCATGGCTCCTGACTTGATCGCGTACAGTATGTGTGGAACTTTGCCAGCAGTAAAAAGGATTTACACATCTGCTTGAATATTACAAAACTTAGGCCACTAAAGAATTACGTAATGCCTCAGGCTTTACCAATCATGGTTTAGCACACAGAAAATACTTCATCTGACTAATAATGCCTGAGAGATTTAATAATTATAAAATTACATCCCTCTTATTGGAAACATGTAGAGAATACTAACGGTAGCCTGTTATTCTCTATGTGTTATTCTTCAAAGTGAAGGTCAAACATCTAAGTGAAATAAAACAGAGCAAAAACAGTTCCAACTTAAAATCTACCACGTAATGAGCATGTAAAACCATCAGCTAGATACAGGACTGAATGTAGCACTCAAGTTCACACAATATCTTCAATAATCAAAAAGAAATCAAAACCTAAATCCCTTTTGGATACAGGAAAGGCGTCATAATTGCAAATATTGAAAACCGAGATGAATTTCGAATCCCCGCCTATACTAATCTGCTGATTGTTTTATCTGTTAATCTATGTGCAATTTGGTCATTAGAAATGTCAGAAAAAGTTGAAAATGCCCCTAAATTTTCAACATTTTCAGTTTGCTCTAATATAGAAATGAGAAAAATTCTCACATTTGAGACATTTTTTCTTGAAAAAAAAAGTCAAAATCATTTATCTAAATAGATCTCCACCGAGTAGCTACATAAATTTCACTCAGCTAATCAAATAATCGACTAATCGCTTCAGCTGTGCACTGATCACATGTAAGGTGTTTTTGTTGTTGTTGTTGTTGACTGTTATAACACAAGGCAGATTTAAACCGTCACATGTTGCTCTTTACAGATTTTTTATTTATTTATTTATTGCTAAACACTTGTAGCCTCTGGTTTTCTGCTGTCTAAACGTGAAACAGAAAGTTCCGAGGTGTACTTGAAGGCACCGCAGAGGATGCACGTCAACACGTCTATTGGCACTCATTTGTGTCCTTCACAACAAAGTCTCCGCCTCCAACCTATTGAGGGGAACTCTCGCTGGAGAAGCGGTATTTGGCTCCACGCTGAAGCCCTGAGCTCGGTCAGCATCTCTAAGTGCCGGAGGACAACAAGGCTTTTCGTTGTTGTTCTGTTTTTTTTTTTTAGTTCAACTTTGAACAACAATGACGTTCAGGAGGCTGAAGAAGGTGAACTCCAGCGGGCCGGAGTCTGGACCCGCACCTCAGGATAGCGACATTTATTTCCCCTCGTCTAAGTCGGACAGCTGCAGAACTGTGGACTTACCGAGCAACTCCTCGGAGGTTTACAACTACAAGACTCTGGCTTACTCTGGAGGGACGCTGCCCAGAAACTTTAAAAAGGTAAGAAGAACATTTAAACTTCAGCTACCATCACTTTATCAGATGAATGTACCTGCAGCTGAGATTGTATTCTATGTTTTAATCTTGTGTCCTAGATCTTAACTTTGAATCAGTCTGTTAAATAATATTAGCTGCATTCTTGGAGTTATTTAATCATTTTTAAGTTTATACTATATCAACCTAACAGTTCATTTACTCATTCAGTAACTTTTGGGATTATTTCACAATAAAAGCCTCTCTAAGTCCACTGACTGTTCATCAGTGTGAGGCTGCTCACTGTGTTTGAAAACTTGTGCTGATAGTTGCTGACAGTTTATCTACAGAGGGCATCTCACTGGGAGCCAACAGTAGCACATCCAGGGGCAAGTGTGGACCACCCAAAAACTAAGTCTGATGCATGTTGTGTCAAGTAGCCCACGGCCCAGCTCCTCATAGCTACATTTATTGCTTTAATTGGCTTTTAAGTAAGTGAAAATTGTTGATACGATAATGATTTTACTTGAAAATGTGGAGTTATTCAGAATCCACTCCAGACTTGTGTTTCCTTGTGCCTCTCTGGCAGCTTTACCACAAAGTTAAACACTTATTTGACCAGTAAAATTTGCATTGCAAAGTCCATTTGGGATGCTCATTTATTCAAAATTATTTAAATCAGGTGGACGACCGATCTCACTGTGCTGAAAACTGCACACACAGAACGGCTGATGTGCTCTGTATTGCCTTTGTATTGAAAATAACAACACACTAACTTCAGCCCACATTTGAAGAACAGTTTCCAGGAAAGATAAGCATGGTCAAGAATGACATCAGCTTTAGCCGGTGCTCCAAAATGTCTTAAGTTAGTACGGCTCCAAAGTCACACAACAGTTCCTCATAAAGCTCATTTGACACAATTCTAATTATTTTCTTTGGAGTGCCTGACATTAGTGGACGTCCCACTTGGGAAGCTGCTTCCAAACACACATGTGTAACAGTGAGCTGTGAAGTGACACACAGTTATCCACAAACCCACACACTGGAGGAGCTACAGCGAGGGGCTACAACACTGCATTGTGCAGGCAAAGGGACGGAGGTCCTGCCACCCCCATCAGGCTCTGTGGGTATGTGGGAATAAATGCACTCATTGAGAAGAGTGCGGGACAATTCTGTAAGTGTTGGGACATAAAGAAAGCAACATTTTACTACCCAGAGAGACTGTAGCACAAAGCAGCCTTTCATTGGAGCAACATTTGAAAATGATTGAGTTGGAACAGAGGTGGACTGATTTAAGTGATTTTTAGTGGAGCTTTTTTGAACAGATACCTTCCTTATTTACACAGTCAGGTTGGGCAGGGACCTGACCTGCTGCTGACTGTGGTTTCACTCTCAATGCAGTTATTGTGGCCCTGTGCTCACCACTGTATCTTATTTGTTTCTTTCAGTAGACTGTGTTAACTCCAAATGTTAAAAAATTTCAGACAGGTCAGGAGTTTGAGTGCCTGAAGGTGGCTGATACAGCGTGGCATTGCATTTAGCTGCAGATCTTTTTCTGACGTTGTGACTGCTGGTAGTAAACAAAGAGCAGCCAGACACGCATTTCTGGTTTCAGCACTAATATTTCCAAGCGGGCTTAATGATGTGGTGGTTTAAAAATACAAACACACTGCATGGCACGCGTGTGCGGTTTCAAGGCCTGATGGACTGGTTGTTGCTCTGTTGTGTACCTGGGTGTGTTTAGGAAATGTTGGGGGAAAGCCCTTTTGAGTAATCTGTGACCTCACACAGGTGTCTGACACGCTTCATGTCTTGTTTCGTTTTCTTCTGGCAGGGTTCCGGGCTGCAGAAGTGGAAACCCCTAACGCAGACACCAGAGCCACAAAGGTACAATCTCCCTCATCACTCTGGACTTTTCTCACCTTTCTCTTTCCTACTCTGCCTCCACATGAATGTTTTTACGACTACAATGGAGAAGAGGCATCTCGGAGTGAACGATCCCCATTCAAACACTGATCTTTTGTGATGGCAGCCATTGTTATGTATGATATTCTTGAGGGTCGTCATGAATTTTCATGTATTTAACTGCTTCTGCATGAGACGTCTCGTATTGACGTCCTCCGGTCCAACAGACTGTTGTACTGTATGTCTGTCTGTGACGTCCACACGCTGCTGCTGGAAACAGAAGAAGTCCTGTGCTGCCAGCAAAGATATCTCGTTATGCAATTTAGATAAGGATGCACGTGAATCCAGACATTAACCCCCTGTTGACTTCCAACCATCTGGGCTCATTCATTTAGCATTTTTATGAACAGAAAGCTGTTCTGAATATAGATCATTTTCATTAGCCTATTTGCTAATGGATTGACTGTACAACCCCATAATTAGTTCCTTTAAATGGCAACTACACTGATGTAACTGGGACTACAAGACCTACAAGTTTGAAAATAAAAGAAAACAAATCTGGGATTGTGGGTAATGTAGGCATCAGGTTTTGACAAAGATGAAGAATGCATGGGAAAGAAAAGGCGACATGAGTGCTTCTACTGCTTCAGAAAGAAGTGAAAAATGCTTCCAGCCAACAGTACAAAGCCCCCAAATTACATGACATAAAACAGAGAAAAATTGCCACATTTGAGAAGTTGGCTGAGAGTTTTTGGCTTAAACAAATAACTAATCAGTTCTCCAAAGACTTTCTGGTTCATTCTATTGAATAATTGTTACAGCTTGTTATTAATTACACGCCTTTCTACGACTCTACCAGATGGTGAAGGCCAAGAAAAACAGTGATTTGTCACATGAAAAAAAACAGCAAATATTTGCTAACAAAATGAACTATTGGATTAATTTGTGATCAGAATAGTTGCTGATTCATTTGCTAATTTATCCACTCAGACAATCAGTTGCTCAGTTGGAAATCTGAGACTATACACAGAGAAAAGTACTGAAGTAAAAAAAAAATGACAATGTCTTTCTTTTCTTTTAGGAAGGTGGTGGTCCTGGAGAAGAAAGAGGAGGAGACCTTCGGTTTTGAGATCCAGGTAAGAAGATTAACAGCGATATAAGAAGAGGGGGGATTTCTGAAGTGCCTTTTAATAGGATTTCAACTATCGGCCATATCTCTGTCAGCAGATGATGAAATTTAAGTGACTGAAACATGCACATCTAGTCCTGCATCTCTTAATCCCAGGAGATAAAAGGTCACGCATCAGTCAAATACCTCGTTGATGTTAATCTCGTGACCGGAGAGATGAGGAGATGGTTTTACATGTTTTTTCTCTCGGCATCTGTATTTTAAGCCTCATGGTTAACTCACACACTTCCCATGTAATACCTTGTCCACTCTGCCGCTCAGCAGGCCGACGCTCTACATGCTTGACTCGGCTCCATTCTTTAAGTTTTATGAAATGATTAAAGCGTGTTAAAGTTACTTGGATATCATGCTGCTGTGGCGCTCAGCTGAAGTGCTTCTTTGAGGAGAACACATATTGTTCTATTTACGGTTTTGTTGAGGGTTTCCGCCCTTCCTGCCGGCCTGACGGACGTGAGATCATGAGGACCAGTTTGATGGTCAGTACAGAAGGAGAGAGATGGAGTCTGGTGTTTCCTGGTGGCTTTCCTGCCTCAGTATCTGCCGTGTTAATACGGACGTGGCGCATGTAAATGTGATATTTGCATTTTAACAGTATTTGCATTGGTATATGTTTAACTTTCAGCCTGCTGAGATAGAAACCAGCAGCCAACACAGGCACAGGCAAACTTCTAAAAGGCACACTCATGCAAGCTGTAACTGACAGGAAGCTTGATAACTTATTTTACTCCTAGTTTTAAGGGTAATAGTCCTTCAGCAGCAGTGTCACGCTGACTGACTGATGTCTACGTGACAAGGGGAAGTCTATCTGTGGCGTGCAGCGCTATGACCTTCTGCAGACACACTGTGATGACTGAAACAGGGAAGAGCATGCAAATACATGTGGAAGTAACAAACAATGTCTCCTAGACAACACAATGTTTTCTGACGGTTGGTTCACTCAGATCATTTACTTCAGTAAAACTAGCAAATAGACGTAAATATCCTGCAGTCAAAGTATTACTGGAGAAAAAGAGAGGCTTGATCTGTCAATTATTTTCTCAATTGTTAGATTAGATGTTTGATCTATAAAATGTCAGAAAATGGTAAAAATGATTACTGTTTCCCAGAGACCGAGATGACAATTGCTTTGTTTTATCCACAACCCAAAGATATTCAGTTTTCTGTTACAGACAAGAAAATACACCAGAGAATAATCACATTTAAGAATCTAGTCTTTCTATTCTTAAAAAAATACTCTCAAACACTTAATCAGTTATTGGAATAATTGGTAAACTAATTTAATAGTTGACAACTAATCAGTTTTTCAGTGTAGCTCTAGTAAATATACTTGAAAAGTCTTTCTGTGGAGGCACTTATAAGCAATACATCATATTTAATTGATAATTTTTGATAACTGAATTGTCCTTTAATTCAATGACAGCCACTCTCTGGTTTCAGCAGCAAATTGGCTGCTTTTATTTTGTTTATACCGTTGTAAACCAGTGATATAAATCTGTGGGTTTTGGGCTGTTGTTTAGTCAAACTCAAGACATGTGACAAGGAAGAATTTGTTATTTTCACCCCTCATCTTTATCCACAAAGTAACTTGTAGCCAAAGCTTTCAGTTAGTGTAGTAGAAGTACAGTGTTTTCCCTTTAGATATGATGGAGTAGCAGTAAAAAGTGGCATCTTTGTCTTTCTACACAGCTTGTATTGAAATGCAATGCACAAAAATGCTCAAAAAGTAACATGCTTATGTAGAGTACTTAATTGTAGTAGATAGTATGTAGTTATTTCAAACATTTTTCAGCATTTGTTAAGCTGACCTACTGTTTCTTATTGAGTTTTTGCGTGAGTTGCACGGTTATAAAAGGGCAGTTTTCAGATTTACTTTGACAAAGTCACCTGTGGTTTCAGATTTTTCAGATAAGAACAGAAAAAGCACCCTGTTCACTTGTTTGCATCACATTTCTGCATGTTCATTGATAAGATCTTCTTTCCTGCAATGTCTGTCATGGCTTCCTCTGCATGTTATTCAGTGTTTTTTTCAGTGTTACAATGTTACAGCTGACATCAGTCACGTTGTATAAGACGACTCCTTGACATCAAGTATAGAGTTGTCTTTAATTCAGCGTGGTTGTTCTGTCACTTTCAGACTTATGGCCTCCACCATCAGGACCAAAACTCAGTGGAGATGTGTACATTTGTGTGCAAGGTGCACGACGACAGCCCGGCCCAGCAGGCAGGACTTAAAGTTGGTGAGTAAACCCTTTTTCCTTCTGTGTGTTTTGCTCTTTTATATTTGTATCCAATCCTGAAATAACCTGAAAAACAATTGAAGTAGACATGAGGAAGTGAGCATCACATGAGGTTTAGGTTCAGCCGGGCCTCTTTTGTGTTTGCCAGCTGACACTTGTGCACCGTACATCAACAAAGCACTCATGAATTCCAGCCCGCTGTTTAGGGAAGTACAAATACGACTGTTTGCCCACTCATTTTTCCAGTCAACAAACAACTTCGTGAGCGGCTATTTCAGCCAACACATGTCTGCCAGCTCTTCTCACCAGAGTGCCAGATAGAGAAAGGCCAGCCAGTTTTAAGGGGAATGATATTTTTATTTGACAAACATGTCTGGCTTCTTTTTTTTTTTTTTTTATACACTTCTTAAAAAATAAATCCTTGAAAATAGAAGCAGTTCAATAAACCAGTGTGTTTTTATCGGGAAAGGATCAGTGAACGAAGGGGAAATAATTTCTAAAGCGAGCTGAGGAGAAGCATCTTTTTTCCTTGATGTCATGCTGAAGACCACTGTGGCGCTGGTTCACTCTGCTTCTGTAAAATGTCTCTGGTTTTTAAAGTCATGACAGCTCAGTCACAAACTCTCAGCGTTAAGTCTCCATCAGCGCGTCAAAAAAGGGAAGGTGATTATCTGCTGCTGCCGCCTCCTATTTCCTTCATCCAACCTGCGTATGTCACTTCAGTTTCACTTCCTACATTCCTCACATGCTCGCTCTATTGTTCCCTGCGTCTTGCTGCGAACACAATGACTTCATCGCGACGGTTTTTGAAAGAGTAAAAAAGGCTTTGTGCTGAAGCCTCACAAAGGCCAGACTATGAGAGTCCACAACTAATCACTCCTCTGAACCTGAAGTGGAACTGTGCAGCTCTTAAAAACAGGCCAACATGTATAACTTTAACACATACATGCTTTAATACTGAAATTTCCTTATACATGAGGCAACTGCAGCTCAGCATCGAACCTCAGCCGCACATGTTCGGCCTTCCACATTTGTGCTGCATGTGTAGAGGTTGCATTTAGAATCAAACAAGCCTCAGATGGCTGCAGCTTGTAGTAATTGAAGCCGCAGTGGATTGATGTGCATATTGATCCTACGGCTGCCGGTTAACACACATGTTGTTCGTGTGTGTGTGCAGGGGACACCATTGCAAGTGTGAACGAGGCCACCGTGGAGGGATTTCGACACAAGGAGATCGTTCAGCTCATCAGGGCCTGCGGAAACACAATCAGGTACACAGACAATGAGGACAACAAAAAAACAACAGCAGCAGCTTCAAAACTTCTGCTAACAACGTGCCTCTCAGATTTTAATTTATTAGAAATGAATTGATTAATAGTGCTGTTTTGTTTTAACAGAGGAGAACAGGTCAAATTGAAATACAAAATAGTACTTTATCATTTGTTCAACTCAGGTTGTCTTAAACGTTCTATGTAAATAATTTGATGAAGTCTGTTTTGTTTTTGAGGCTACATCTACACAGTTCTTGCTTTAAAAGTGTGTTTTCAAATATATAAGTGTTGTTGTACATTGAGCATGCGAGTGCTGCTGTGAACTGCAAGGGCAAAATGTAAGTGCACAACAGCTGCTAGCAGAGACAGCAGGTCAGCAACGCCTATAAAACGCCCGTCTTCCTCTGGAAAACAGTCATGTGACTGGGGCGTGATGAATCAGGGAATGATATAGTAACAGCGAAGGCCAATCAGACATCAAACATGGGTGTCATCGTTTCTGCTCGTCCAAAATAAACACAATCCAGGAGTTTTCTGAATAAAAACAGCTTCTATATGCTTGATGTACGTATAGCAGTTGTGTGGATTTAGCCTGAGTTTAATGTGAGTGGCACAGGAGAGCCTGGTGTCTAAAACAAAGCAGTTTATTAACATAGCAAATGCCACACATTTGCTTTTGCCTCAGAAATGGGAGGATTTGCTGCTTTTAATGTTATAAAATTGTCAGGTGCATATATTTGGCTTTTTGTTGTACACATAAAACAACCTGAAGATGTTGTCTGGGACTTTAGGAAACTCGATTCTCCTTTTTTTCACCCTGACAGACTAAAAGGTAAAACATAATTGAGGTTATGTAAGAATTCAGCCTTTTTTAAAATGTATTTTATTCAGTTGGAAAAACTCTGTCAGCCGTCGCTCGAGTATCTCGCTGGGATTTGATATTCGTCAGTTTGCTGAGTGGGTCTTTAATTTAAACCACTCTTTTCCTCGCCCTCCTTCTCTGTTAGTAAAAGATTAAAAGGACAATTAGCTTGGCCCCGTCTGTGAGCTTTCAGAGCTCCTGCAAAAAGACGTGAGGTGAACCGCATCAAAGTGCCAGTGTAGGCACAGATTTTATAGACTGACATCATCAAATTATACTTACAACTCGGGTCTGTATAAACTGTTAGAGTGCAAACGAGCTCTATAAGTTGTTCTTCCACTCGCGTAAATTCAAAGGATTTGCAGCACTCATGTGTCTGAGTGGAAACTGTATATGTTTCTTATCCTTCCCCTCTGCTTGTAAACTGTCGCTTGACACCAGTTCCTTTCCCGCCACTGACTTATGAAAAGATCCTTTCATATGGTCGAGTTTTTTATCGCTGCCTTCTGCCCTTGTAGTTTTATAACTGCTAATAAGCGTAACTGCATCCTGTTCTGCTGATTAACTCTTTTGCCTTCTGGTTTTTCGCTTGAAGGCTGGAGACGGTTTACAGTGACTCAATCCGAAAAGCCGAGCTGGAAGCCCGACTGCAGTATCTGAAGGTGAGTTGTTTTGGTTTTTTTCTTTTTCAGTGTTGCTGCAAGCGTTTTTTCACAGTTTGTCAGCAGTGAGTCAGCCTGATTGTGTGTCCAGCAGCCTCACACACACACATTATGTTATATTCTTGATATAGCCACCACCTCCCCCTCCCTCCACACCTGTCTCCACCAGCAGCACCACCTGTTGCATCAGCAGTTTGTGCAGCAGGCTTGCTGGACGCTGCAGACATTCTTAACTCGAGCTGCCTGTGAAGTGGCTCGACTGAGCGAGCTTTTCCCCAAGATTACAGCAGCTGTCCGGCTCTAATCCACTCCAAACACAGCCGCCTTCTGGGATACTAATGCAGCTTTTTAAAGCTTAACCTGCTGCAGAAAACACTGCATTTGATGTAATCTGAGATGTGGATGATGCTGATTGCTCACGAAACACTACGTATTTTTGGACTCAATCCGTGTGTCAGACTTTAATGCATTCATACAGGCCAGAACCCTTATGTGTCATTTTCAATGCACTTTTGGTGTCATGATTTTTCTCTTATTCCAAATATTCCTCTAGTTGCAGTACATATTTGAGCGGTTTTGTTTTTGTTTTTTAAATCTAATACAGATGCAGTGTTGTTGTTTTGCTTTGAAAAGCTACATGTGTAACTGCTCCATCTTCCCTTGTTCTATTGATTGTATGTTTGGTTTTCTTGTCACAGTCAATTCAAGTGTCTCTGTCTTCCTTTGCAGCAAACTCTTCATGAGAAGTGGGATGAATATCGATCACTGATGGTGCAGGAGCAGAGGCTCGTTCATGGTAGGTCATTTGTATTTCTGTTGTAGCTCGACTGGATTGATACTGGATGTTTTGTAGGCCAGTGCAGAGTTTAAAGAGTCCACTAAGAAAAACCTGGCTGATGCTTTTATTGACATACATGCACAACAAGCAAACAACATTGATACGGTTAAGAATTCTTAAATAACCTTCAGTGTGCAATGTGTTCTGTTCACATTTTTACTCATTTTGGGCTCATTTCACTTCAATGTTAAGTCCTGCTCCTCTATAGAAACAGCACAACCAAAGCGAGAAGTAGAGAGAAATGAAAATTGTCTTCTGTGCAGCATAAAAAAAGTTAGAATTCCAGAAATCCTTAAAAGAAATAATGAAAAGTTTAATTTCTTTGATTGGTTTTGGGGTTCAGAGAGTTTGTTGATCAGAAAGTGTAGCCCTCCATCAAGGCCAATGTCCTATCTCACAGTTTTAAAGAAAGTGATCCAGATCTGCAGTTTAATGGGTGCTTCCTCCAGCCAATGCTCCGCGTGTCCACCCAGTTTAATGAAATTGTGCTGACAGTCAGACAAACACGTAGCTCTTGCCTTGGAAGAGAAGAAAATCTACTTTCTAGTTCCTACTGTCTTTCTGAACTGCCTTTAACTTGTTGTATTGAAGATTGTTTGCACTAGTGAAATAAATCATTTCTCAGTACTGATAATTCACTTACCATGTTTCTCCAAGATAATCTAATATGAATCTGCACTACTTTCCAAGAAGTCCTGGGTGCATACTTTACAAATAAAGAGTGTCCAGACTTTAAATCACACAGTCTTTCATTTTTAAAAGCTATTAGTTTTGTTTTGCTCCTACACTGGGTTGAGACATTGAGGATGAACACCAGATAAAACTAGTACAATGTAAACAAAAATGTGAAAAATGCTCATGTTCTCAAACCAAGATGATACTCAATTCCCTCCTTTGTGATCAGTGATATGCTTCAGGTAAAGTCGTTGAATGCTCACATGGCCTTTCTCTCCTGCAGGCATAGTAATGAGTGATGCTGCTGTGTACGAGTCCCTGGAGTCAGCGGGTATATATGGCAGCCTCGGCGCTCCCAGTCCTGCAGCTCAGCGAGCTCTCCGCTGCACTGGCAGCACCAGCAGCAGCGCCAGCTTCCTCAGCACGGCCACCGAGGATGACCCGCTCTACCAGACCTGCCTGTACCAAGCAGATGGCAGCGTGGACTCAGAAAATGCAGACAAAAAGAAAGAACAGCAGCCGCCACAGAGGCAGCATCGCCTCCGACCGGCCAGCGAGCTCTTCACCACGGCCAAGACGCAGCTGACCCGCAGCGCCAGCACCCGCAGCTACATGAAGGGATCTTCATCGTCCAGCTCGGGGGAGAAGCAGGGAGGATTCAACTCACTGCAGAGGAAGCCCAAACAGAAGAGCTTCCGCAGACGCCTCCTCAAATTCATCCCGGGTTTGAATCGACCGCTGGAGGAGGAGGAGAGCAAACTGTGAGCAGCAAACTGAGCTGTTCACCTAAAGCTTTGGAGGAAAAGACTTAAAGCACCAGTGACTGTCAAACTAAACTGCCAAAGAAAGCAGCAGGCAGACCCAAAGAGTGAAGAGTTTGAGACCAAAGTGTATTGGCTCTGTACCTGCACCTCTCCCCATTTAAATGGGCAGACCAATGAACATTTGGCTACGTTCAGTAGCTTTCAGTGTTTCTCAGCTGTACATAACTTTTGTCTTTGTTTTGAACTTTAAGTTATTTATTTATTTTAACATGTTCGGATTATGTACAGAATGAAGGATTTTTCAGTTTTTACTGCATGCATGACGTTTATTTCAACAGCTGAATAAATCGCCCACAGTAACTGTAATCGTGCAATGCACCGTTTTGTAAGAGTTTGATATCGACCTTTAGTTGATTTATTGATCCTGTTTTATTTTTCTGCCCAAGTTCATGGTTCCTAAAAATAAAATATGTGGCATTTACTGGTTACATGCTCATTATTTGGTGCAGAACCTGCAAGAAAAGCTATTTTGTTCCACAAGCCACAACTGTCTGTGGGAATTGTAACTGCCAACCCTAAATTAGCGCTCAGACCTCGAGTGTACGCACAGTCTGTTTTTTATTTCCCCGTTGGAGATGTTCCATGTGATACTTTTAAATATAGTAAGCCTTTATAGTTCCACAACTCTTGCACAGTTTAAGAATGCTATCTCCTGAGTTTCCGAGGTTAGTGTGCGGCTTTGGATGCTTTGAGGCTTTTTATGCTGCGAGGTATCCAGAATGGAGGCTGTTGTATCGGCTCTGACACAGTTTATTGTTGGGAGAATGGTGAGGAATTTGCGGAGAAAGGCATGACCCAAAATTCCAAACACAACCGCTTTCTTTCAGCTCCTGAGTGCTGATTCCTCCTCTTCCACGCTCCCATATTCCCATGGCGGCCTCAGTTGTCCGAGGCCTTGCTGGGTGTGTGTGTGTTTGTTGGGCGGGGGTTGCTTGGAGTCTTTTCATTCTTGGCTCCCAGCTGACCCATGAGGTCATGGTGGTCACTCTCTCCGTTGGCCGTGCAGCGTTGATCCCTTTTGTCCTCCGTCGCTCATTCACAGATGCGTCAGGAGTGTCGATGGTGAGCGATGGTATGTGGCCATGTGTTGGAGCCGGGCCCTCTTCAAGCAGTGGAATGGGAGGGGGGTGTTGGAAAGGATGCTGATATAAGGGATTGTTATGCATGCTTACTGGTGCTTAAAACAGGGGTTTAGAGTGAATGGGCTGAATGCATAACGAGGGGATAATTAGTCAAGATGATGGTGCACTAAAAAAATGTGCGAAGGGGCCATTTAGCAGAGACTGAAGCCCCAAACAAGGAGGGTGCAGCTGATGCTCAGTAATTAACACAGTAGGAGATTAGCGCAGGCGTGTGGCTACTGTTGCAAATATTTGGATGTCGCCCGCCTGCTAAAACGTCGTTGTTGATTCAAGGACTGAGAGGTGAATTTGTGTTCGTCTGCACACCAGAAGGTTGCAGCTTCTTGCACTGTTTGTCCGCCGTTTAACGTAGAACTGCTCATCAGCTTCTTTGATTCATACTTGGCTGCACTGTCACAACACTAATTATAGGATTATAGTTTTAGCTCTATTACTTTGACAACAAAAGGTGCAGCTTTAGGATTAATTAAAAACACAATCAGCATCAACACACACAACAACAGCAAAGGTTGAACACCTCATTGTACATAAATGCATTAAAGTTTAATTTCCAACCTGATCTCATTTTTGAAAATTAGGCTGCAAATAGTCATTTTTAATTAATTGTTCAATCACATGACTATAACGTTTTAAAAAAAAAACAACCAAAAAACACCATAACCCTGAGCTTAAAGAGATGCCATCAAACGAATGATCTTGAAACTCAAACCCATCAGAAATTTGGCATTTTGGTTGGAAAACTGCTAGTTATTCAGGCTTAAAGCTGCTGATTAATTGTCTGTCTGTGGACTAGCTGATAAAAATGAGACAGTATTGTATTGATCCATGTTTGTCCTGTTACCTACATCAGGCTGCATCCCACCTGCTGCTGAAATATCATCCCTGCTCAGAAGAAAATCCAACTTTAAGTGTAACTCTGACATAAGGTTGTGCTTCCATAGACTTGTGCTTCACTTCATCCACACACTGATCATTAGATGACGGATCACTGGGAAGCACTGGAGTCAAAGTTTGCAGACTATAAGTTTTAAAATGAAAAAGAACCGCTGTAGCATTCTACTCATCTCTGCTCATCACTTCTTATGAATTACTGGCATAAAACACCCAAATCTAAGACTCAGCTGTCAGCAGTCGAGTTGCATTGTAGCTAATTTAGGTTTCAGGATTAGTGGAGTAAATTTTGTCCCTGAGGGGAAACTTTCCATTGTGCACACAGTCTGTTGCTTTGCACAAACGCATAAAAGAAACACAAGAGGGTATTAAACTATAGAAACGAAGCTCTGTAGACTGTTTTGTGTTTGTGTATATGTTACACATTATCATAGTCTTTAGCACTGGAGCTCAACCAGCTTGACGGAGGATGGAGCATTTGCACTTTGGTACTTTGAGTGTTCCTCCTGATGTCAGAGATTCATATTCAGAGAAAAGCAAATGCTGTTCTATCAGTGGAGTAATCTTTTAACATTACACACTCGAGATCAGGAGAGATAAAGGTTCCTGTGATGCCTCAAGCCTCTTACATGCACACATGACTTCCTGGTGTGTCTCTTTGCATGCAACCTCAAAGTAATTAGAGAGGCAGATATTTGTACATCAGTGGATGAACTGACAGAACAGAAACAAAATATTGTGAGCTTTTTTCTTTAAAAGAAAAAAATCTGCTCCCAGTGTGCAATAAATGATCTGCAAACCATTTTTCACTGTAGTGTAACAAAAAAGAACTCTCTAAAAGTTGAGAGAAGTTGTGATGACTTAATTTGGTAAACAAAATATGCATACATCCCTCTTAGTGATGACAAAGAAGCTTTGAGAAAGAGGAAGCAGGAGAGCTGGTGGGACAGAGTTGAGTCTCTGCGGTAAAACAGTTCAGGCCAAAGTACTATTTGTCAAGCGTGACATGCGTCACAGTTTCTCGTCGGCGGTTATTGCCTCTGGTTAAATTAATGGATCAGTTCTTGTTGGTTACAAATAAGGAAGCAGCGGGATGATTGGCTCAACACTAACACAGTTCCTTGTGTGCATAAAAGAGACATCAGACAAAACCAGAAATGCTATTCTCACGCAAGAGATCAACCAGTCTGGAGCAGAAATATCTCTAAAACGGGAAGTTTTGGGGCGTCATAAAGCGTGGGTGGCCAGTGTGGCAGGCTGTGTGCAATAGGAGCTTGTGTGGGTTGTCAAGGCGCAGGATGTGTGCGACAAATGTGCCGGAAATCCACCATAAAGATAAGATAATACAACTGACTGTCAGGTTTAAAATAAAAGGCAGCATTATAAGTGTGCATGTTCCAGTGAGAGAGAGAGAGAGAGAGAGAACAAATAACCTGTGATTACATAAGTAGTCACCAGTGTGGGCTGGACACCTGCCTTTAGGACAGAACAGGTGTGGAATAAAGAAGACCTCAGGGTCACAATTTTACAGATGGAAACTGTTCTTTACTTCTAAAATGTCAACAGAACACTGAAACATGTGGCCGAAAAAGAGGAATCTGCCCTGCATGACATGGATGAATCAGCTTTACATTCAATTTCTACAGAAAAGTGCGACAAGATTCCTTATAATTTGCATTTCAGATTAAAAACAAATGTTTGCATTTGGTTTCCCAGTAACAGCAACTGTGAGCTGATACCTCAAAGGTTGTCTCTGTGTGGCTTTAACAGCCTCTTTCCTGGAGCTGCTGCTGCTCATAATTTCCACCCAACAGCTTGTGTTGAACAGCTCAGGACCTAAATGTAGAACTGGACAGATGTGTAATTTATTGAAGACTTTATGCAGTCTATAAAAAGTGTTGCAGTAGCAGCACTGTAAAAAAAAAAAAAAAAAAAAAAAAAAAGTGTAATTTGTGAAATAATATTTGTAGCTGATGTAACTGTATAATTTTATGATCACACGTTGTAAAAGACTAAATGTACCAAATGTGTTTTTACAGTCAACATGTTCCTGTGATTTTACTTGTTATTATCGGTTATTTTAACCAGATAGGGACAATCTGTAAAAATAAATAAATAACTAAATAAACAACTTAAGAAACTATTTTTAATTATATATATATATATATTAAGCAATAGCACACAGCTGTAAAATTACAATATTTTTTGCTGATTTGAAAAGAGTAAAAATAGTGTCATTTTGCTGTCAAACACTGTAAAAAGAACAAACGACCATTTCTTTAAAAAAAAAAAAAAAAGATATTTTATTTTGACATTATTTACAGTTTTGGCCAGTTTTAGCACAGTTAACCTGTAAATTAATACATTTGACCTGCAATTTTACTAGTTATTGTCTGTAATTTAACAAAACAGGGAAAATCAGGAAGTAATTTTTTAAAAAAACAACAGTTAAAATCTGTTAAACATATTCTTTACAGTGTGCACGGGTCAAACAGTTTGGAAAAAGCAATACATTTTAACATACACTGAATGGTTCCTGATAATAAAAGCAGTTTCCACATTAAGGAACATCTTAAAGTCACTGATATGAGCGATGGAGTTGTACAAGAACACCGAATTTTCTACCAAAATCAAAAGAGATCTTTAGATTTGTATCTTCGCCACTGGTTTTCTCGCTGGTTTGAAGTGGGCGGGCCGCGGTTGGAACAAGGTGATATCGTGTGTTTCCATGCCCGAATCAGTGCTCGACAGCATTAGAAATGAAATCTGATGACAGTTGTTAGTGCTTGTTGCCAGCAGCTGTCAATGAAATCTGATCAAACACCCACACAGGCCTGATGAAGCAGATAAGCTGAGGGTTTGAATGCTAAACAAAACTTTGCTTTTTCCTCCTCTGGTCGGTGATATGCACCTTTACAGACACATGAAAGGAGCTTTAACATGCACCCATTTGCTAAACAAAAAAAAAGAAAAAAAAAAAAAAAAGAACCACTTCTAGTGTGTTGTGTGACTTTATTGTTGGAAATGTGTGTTTTTCAGAGCTGCTTCTGAGAGCAGCTGAAACATCTGCAGACTGCACAAACAGAATGGTGCAGAATAAAACATTTGTGACAGACAGTAACGCCACTGGACTGAAAAGGGATTCTGGTCGACTCCTGCATTGGAAACGTGCTGTTGGCTTATATCATTTGTGCAGTTTCATCAGTTCTATTGCAGCATAATGATAAGTTAGCTGGTCGCACACTGGAGCAACAAGCTACAAGGTTGTGGGTTTAATTCTGCAGGTCAGATGGTTTGTTTCTGTGTTTGTTTACATGTCTTTGCTGTGTATGAATGTGGATGGTTGTCTGTCTGTTTGTGTCGTCTCAACCAGGATCACCAGGACAGA